GAGGAAGGACAGAGGAAAAAGAAATGGATCCTCAAGAATCTATTTGCAAGAATCCGTACACTTCCACAGGAAGAACTGCTCTGTGTCCTTCTCTTCTTCTTGCTGTGCTTTCTAAAAGGATTATTCCAAATTCCAACAAAGTCTTGTTCCCTCAACTTCAAACCTCAGAACAAAAAAACAAAATCAAAACGTAAACCAAACCTTTCTCAGAGCCGTAAGATCTTACTTGCAACCTTGCAAGCTTGTCAATTGAACCACCAATGAACAAAGCAGCTTTGTCTCTGTTCTTGTCTCTTCTTGTTCTTTCAATGTGCAAGCCTTACAACTCAAACCTCAACGCATAAACCGAAACCTAAACTTAGAATCCAGTTTCAGGAAACTGCCAGTTTTCTGTTTAATTTGTCCAGTGGAATCAGAGCTGGAGAGACACACGGAGGTGCGCTGTTTGCTACTGGTGCGGTTCATGCGTGTTGCTTCAAACAAAGGAGCGAGTGCTGCTGTTGGGCAGCAAAGCACCTGCAACCGAAGGGAGCGGGAGAAAAAAGACAGGGGTTTTCAGCACATGAAAACCTTCAAGCACAAGAACAAAAAATGAAAAGAGTGCAGGGTGCAATGATTGCACGTCCAACTCCGAAATTGCAAAAGTACAAGTTTCGCAAATGTGTGCAAGCTGGAGCGCTGCACTGGTTTTCAGTCATTTTCAAAAATTGGTCCACGTACAAGCATTTGTTTTTTGCAATTAAACAACTGCTTAGAATTGCTTCCAGCTCTGGTCCCAAATGGACTCAATTTCGTTCAAATAAGTTTTTGCCCACGAAAAAATGATGCTGAAAGCCCATGTTTTTGTTGTTTTTCTTTTCTGCCGCTCCCTTCGGTCGTGGGTGCTTTGCGCCCAACAGCAGCACTCTAGCTCCTTTGTTTGAAGCAACACGCATGAACCGCACCAGCCCAACTATCACAGCGTTCACTTCATAGCGCACCAATTTTTCGCCTTTTACTAAAGGTTGCCGTGTATGGGACGCATCAATGTGATTTCCACAATGTTTGCCGTACGCACGCACGCACGCACACACGAAATGTGGCCTTAGCAACACGCCGCGAGGGATTTGTTGGACGTTGAATGCCTTTTCCTTTGAACCTGCACAAGGCTAGGCCTTTTGCTCAGGGGGCAAGAGCAACAAGGTTGGTATTTATACCTTTTGTCGGTGGCTTGGAAACTACTGAGTAAGTGGGATGCACATCCAATAGGCGGGGGGATGGTGATCTCCAACAAACTGCAAGAACCTCTGGGCCAAAATAGGTCGGCTAGGGGGCTGGGTGATGTGGGGGTGTCCCTGGCCCATATGGTGGACACGAGATTTCCTTTCGGTGCCTCTAGGAGTATTGAGTTTCAGCAACTTGTAGGCGCTAGCGGAGCCACAATAGTCCAGTGCGCAGGGAGGGCAGCAATAGTTGTGGCGTGCTATGCACGAGATCATTGTCATCCAGATTGGCCTCCAAGGATATGAAGCGTGTGTTACCTTTGACAGTCATGCTTCAGCTCGGCATGCCATCCAGTTTGGCCGCGTGCATAACATGACGTGCTGCTGAGAGGACAGGAAGAACAGTGGTGTACTTGCCAACACCTGTTGTGACGCGCCTGGGATGCAGACCTATTACCCAGACTCACTGTGAGGTGGAAGCTTTCATGCTACTTGACAGAGCAGCTATGCAAGCTGGCAGACGGCTACTTTTTTGCAGCTTGCAAAGCCTTTAAAAGCAATGCAACACGCCACTCAACCCACTAATTGGCCTTTTATAGGCCTCAGTGAAGCTTAGTTTTGGAAAGCTCACCGTTGGCCTGCCTGAAGCAACAACTCTAACCTTTGGCAGGTTTTGGACATCACACAGCGCTTCCAGATCCCTTCCACTGGAAACCTCTCTCAGCCCATCTTGATCTTAGTTGCCGTTTGCTTCAAGTGCCACTCAAGAACAGATTTTCCAGTCCGCAGCCGCAGTCAGCGTGCGCTTCGCGCGAGCTTTACCGGCGCTTGCATCGGCAACAACGTGGCATACTGGCATGAATAGTGGCAGAACGGCCTCATCGACTGCGACCTTTGATCTCTTTGCTCAGCATTGACATAGTGCCTTCCCTGAATCATGGGAAACAAAGCCTCAAAATCCCAAAGAGAGCCAATGATCTTCGACGACTGCTTGGTTGTGTTTGGTAAGTTTCATATTACTCATTACTCTCTTTCCAATCATCGTGAAACTCCCCAAATGAAAAGTAATCTCCCAAAAGCCTTTGTCAGCTTCCATGATTGTTGGAGGAAGGTCGTTTTTGACAACCCGTCAGGGCTTGGATTGCTATTATGTTTTGTGTTCCGGGGGGGCTTAAGCAACTGGAGGAGATCGGCGGTTTTTGGAAGCCAGTTGTATCATATGGGACGGTGTGGGGAATGGCGCAGAGTCTTGGCACCCAACATCACAAGGCGTTATGTTGCATCTGGAATCTGGGTGTGCCTTTTCCTGAGGGTACCGTATCTTTCTGCGCTTTTTGCTGGTTTTAAAAGCAACAACCAGAAGGAAGCCCAAAAAGAAGGACCCACTCATAGTATATCAACCCAACTGTTTGTGGGACACCCTAAGTTAATGTTTCCAGTTTTAAAGGTTTCTGGTTCTCAGGAATCAAATTCGGGCGTTCGGGTATGAGCCATTTGGGACCTTAAAGGAAACCATGAATCGTTTAGTCAAAGGGGGCATTCCAGCTCATTCCTGCCGAGAACCAGCAACATAATTCAAGGAGCTAAATAATTACTAGTAGTTTACTCCCAGAGCCTACAGTCACTAGATTTCATATTAAAGCACCCCCTCCCAACCAGGGTTCCAATGATTCAGCCCCTCTGAACTGATCTTGACTCTCCCTCCTCAGCTCACTTTGCGAAGTCTAAAGGCACCCCCTGCCGTAGGATCAAGGAGGACATGAAGAAGCACCGGGTGCTGGTCTTCAAGGGCCAAGGCCGCCTGAGTGGCGCACGCCAGGCGAGAGGGCGAGAGGGCGAGGGAGAAGCATCCCGCTGAAGCTTCGTGTTTTTTTTCTTCCCCCAACAGCTGAAAGCTTTGGGGTCTCAGCCCAGATAGGTTCCGGGGTGGTCCGGGGCGGCCCTGAGGTAAGGTTCCACGAGGGTTCCACCAGGGTTCCACCAGGCGCCAGGGTTCCACAGTTCTGCCAGGGCTGCGGGGTGGTGCGAGCACGAAAAAGATCACTGCGTGCTGTTGATATCGCCTGAGTGACCATCCTATAGCTTTTTAAAAGGAACATGTGGTTTTAGTTCAGTGAGCTAGAGCGTACAGGTTCAACCATTTTTTCTGGCGGATTTGAGCAGTACGCCTGCTTGTTTGAGGATGCCAGCTTTTTTCGGTACGGGAAAAAGGGGTTGCCCGTTGCCCAACAACCAGAGGGTTCAGCTCCGGGAAATCCACCGGGAGGTTGCTTGAGTGGTTCGTTCTCTGGGCGTGTGTGTGTGTGTGGATTATTGGGACACAATCCTTGGGGGTTGGGAAACCAAAAGGAAACCTATCGGTTTGGAGGTCCCAATTTTGTCGGCACATGTGTTCCGCGCCCGGAATCCGATTCCCCAGACTCCGGAAACTGATTACCTCGAAGACCAACGGTAACTTTCAGGTTTTAAACCCGACCGAATACTGCCGTGTCCCTTTCTAGGAGCCCCAAAATGGACTTCGGGTTTCCTCTTTGGGTTCCCTGTGAAACCATCCGTAACGTGGGTATGTACCCTCAAAAAAGACAGACCCACATGCGGCTTTTTGGCCCTGTGGTTTTGGGCATGCTTGGTGCGGTCACATTCCGAACAATCAGATCAACATGGCATTGAGCCCAAGTCTGCACGTTTTTGCTTGACCTTTTGTACCACCTGTTTGAATTGCCCTTTGAACCACCTCTGCCTGCTGTGAACTCACTTCCACGAACATGAATCGGCACAGGCCCCTTTCCTAACGTGAAGGTTGCACGAGGGTTCGTGCACGTCCATGTTTGCGGGGGAGAGATTGAGAGAGTAAGGTGCAGTCAGCAACTCGAATGACGCTCCAACCGGGGCCCGTAGGGTGTACCCCCAAAAGGGAGAGGTGACCAAACTGACTTATGTGGACAGAATCGTTGGAATTTTGCCAGTGCTGCGGTTTTCTTTTCCGTGGCCGCTGGACAACTGGGGGTGATTTTTTGTTGGGGTCAGGTTGACGGATTCAGCTGAGCCTAACTCTAATCATGGTTATTGCCGGGTGTTCATTGTGACTCGTAAATGACCCCGCTGCTCGAGAAGCTCCAATACAATAGCCGCAGGTGCAAATCTCGCGGCAGCTGGGGACTGCAGCTTGGAGCGGAAGTCGGGCGGAATCCGACGTTTGGGTGTTTCTGAAAATTAGGAACCCGGTCTCTTTTGGTTTCCCTGTCAAACTATCCCAGAAGGGGTCCCCTTGGAGGAAACCCCGTGTGACTTGGTGTCCCATGGGAAGCTGTTGGAGGGTACCCCGTCTTTCTTTGGGTAAAGGGAAGCCCAAAGGAAAACAATTGTCTTGGGCCGCCCAAAGGACACAACCATAAATCAATCAATAAATAAATATATATAGATATACAATATATACAAACTGATGTGTGTGTGTGTGTGTTCAGCTGGATCCCTTGGTTAGACAAGCACCTTTTGCAGTTGATGCAGAGGTTCCCTTAAGCATGTTGTTTTGGCATCACCCTTTGAGAAAACTGCGGGTATCACCTTTAGCCTTAGCTCTTTTTCTGCTGCACTTTAGACAATCCTTGATTTTAAGCAAAGGCGTCCCCTTCGAATCGACCACTTAGACCTCTCTTGTAACCCACCGAATCAAAGGGCAGCAGTGCCTTTGGGTTCCTGACGAGCCGGGGGCTCCAGACTATCCCAACCTGGCAGTGCTCAGGTGGAAAGTACCTTCTACAAGCACCCTAAGAGTCTCGGCCTTAGTCGTGAGCCGGTGAGGCACGGATGCATGCAAAAGATCATGTTTTTGGTTGCACGTGTCACGTGCTGCTACCAGAGAAAAGACTCTAGCAACACTTTCCTGCCAGCTCGCCAAATAGACAAGATGGGGGTCAAAGCGCAACCCTCCAAAATCTGGGCCTGTATCTGGTTGGGCCAAAATCAACTTTGGGGAAAGGCTAAACCAAAGGCAAGCACAAGCTGGACTTCCCAGCACCCCAACAACTTCTTTTTGCACACCACCTGCGGTTTTGGACCTGGGACATTGCAGAGAACTTGGACGACGATGTTTTTTTCTTCGGTGGTTTTGGCCCAGTCAGCCAGCTTCGTCCACTCCGCGCTTCACCCCCGAGGCCCGCACCCGGACATCTTCAGAGTTTCCAACGACGACGCTTCGAATTTACAATGATCCGGGGCAGGGGGGAAAACCTGCGCCGCAACGCCGGGTCAGGAACCCACCGCCTTGGTGTCCAAAAGATGGTTCCCACGTTTCAAAGGGAAAAAAACGATGGTTCCCAAAGATTGGTTTCCAAGCCCCAGAGGGAAGTCCTAAAAATGGTGTCTGAAAGATGTTTTCTAAAAACATGGTCAACGCAAACGATGCTCCCTAGAAACTTTGCTTTTCCCACTTGGAAACCGCAATCCCTTTTCTGTTGAAGCTTGGCACCTGCCTCCGGTGATCTCCGAAGATTTGGATTTCCGGGAAATGCCAGGCTCAACGAGCTTTGTTGTTTTGACCTTTTGGTTTTCCTTCACTTTGCTGGTCAGGCAATAAGTGGCCTTTTTTGCAAGGAGTCCAAGTCTTGTCCGTTTAATGGCTGGTTCTGATTATGACCTTGATTTTGCTGTACGGACCGAAATTGCCGCTAGAAACTTGTACCGAAAAGACAAAGTTGCACAACTAACAGCCAAAGCGGGGATCCCTTGTGGAATGGAGTCAGTTTGATCCCCCCCCCTGCAGAAACATTCAAAAGGATCCTTGCAAATGGTAGGATTTAAGTGAACCACATCCAACCGCAATGCCCTGGCAAGTTGCGGGATATTTCAGGAGTTTTCCTCATTCTTTTAAGCTCTCCATACTTGCGGCACCCACAGCATTCCGTTCAGACCCTAAAGTCCTCGAGATGGTGACTTCTCGATCGACGTTAGCCTCAGGGAGGGCGCCAAAGTGGATCACTTGCTGCGAGTCAGCTTGACCCCGGAGTATCAAGATATGACAAACAAATCAGTAGGCTTCAGCAATGATCAAGCGACTGGTCTCATTTTGCATGTACGCTGACTATGACGCGGTTCTCTGGAGTTTTGTGCTCCTTTCCCGCCTTGCTAAATGTCCCACAACTCTACATTGCCCCTCGAGGAAAGCAAAAGGGGGATGGATACCTTGCTGGTGCTCAGTAGGGAATGACATTGGTTTTTTGGAATGAGCTTTCGGTTTCCCTTAAAGGAAACCATGGGGGATTTTTCTCGGGGTAGTTCTAACACCTGCGCCAAAGTTCCAGCGTCCTCAGGAATACGAAGGCTGCGTCGGTGTGGGGCCGCCGCCCTGGCCAATGCATCGCTTTTTTCACCGAGGTGAAAGCTTTCAATTTCATGCAGGATATCAGGTGGTTCGATATGACTGGAGGAACTCAGACCTCCAGACAATTTCTGTGGAAGCACATTTGGTCATTGACTTCAGAAACTTCACTACGAGGATTCTTCTCCCAAAAACGGAAACAAAGGGCACCGCTGGAGGTCTGGGTTTGGGTTACTTTTGCACATGAATGAGACCGAAGGCTTGTGTCAGACTTCTCAAACAGAGGAGCGCTCCTCCTTCTCCGCTTCCCAAAAGTGCCAAAAGCTACAAATTGGCCGACATTGAGATGATCTCGAGAGTTCTTCGGGTTGGGTTCTTTACCTGGAGTCTCCTTTTCTTTAAAAGAATGGGCTCATGACGCCTTTCGATGTAATGGCACCATGTTTCAAGGTTCGGGACGGGAGATTTGTCGAAGCTGTTTCTCCAGCTTTTCTGCCGTTCAAGCTCACCTAGGAGCCTCTTGGACCCTGAATACGCGGGTTCAAAGCCGTTTGACCCTCAAAGAATGAGGTCTTGGGCTCCTAGGCTCAACTTTTCCTAGGGTTCGTTATACGTTCATGCCCCATTTTGTAAGGGTCATGGAGACTTGATGGTTTTCAAATCCAGCTGTGTTCAAGCTGCTGTTATGTTCGCTCTACGTTTGGGGGGGTGCAAGTGGCTTCCGGTCCTCGTCCGCTTTCGCTTTCGCTCCGAGGGCGCAACCTGTCGATTTTGAGGCGCACGGGCTGGCATGTGGACGGCACCTTTCAGGAGATGCCTGGAGTCTCGGGAGTCTCAGCTGGGGGGCGGGAGGTGTTTTTTTTTTTTTTTTGTTGTGTGTGTGTGTGTTTGTTGTCTTTAAGCAAGCTTTTGTTTGTGCGGTTTTAACGTGTTTTACAAGGAACACCACCATGTTGGGGGGTGATGTGGTGAGTTCGAAGAACACCTTTTGATTGTATGGGCATCAACTTGAAGGGCGGGCTTGGACCGTGATGTGTTTCACGGTGAAATATTTAGAAATATTTGGAGGGGGAACAGAGCGCCCCCCAGCGGCGTTTGTTTCGTTGGCCAGAACACCAGCCGCAGCTTAATCCCTCGCAATCTTCGCAATAAGAAACACTCAAAACCTTCACTTCACGGAAATAACGGGCAGCTTTGCAGGCAGTGTGCAGGTGTGCGCAGGAGTGATGACTTTTTGGACCGAGGACGATACAGATATCGTGTTTGGTGCATTTGTGCCTGGATGTTAGGACTTTAACTTTTTGCTTCGGAACAAGCTGCCCGGTTGCGCAATAAGAAACACTCAAAACCTTCACTTCACGGAAATAACGGGCAGCTTTGCAGGCAGTGTGCAGGTGTGCGCAGGAGTGATGACTTTTTGGACTGAGGACGATACAGATATCGTGCTTGGTGCATTTTTGCTTGGATGTTAGGACTTTAACTTTTTGCCAAGATGCCTATGGCGCGCCTCCGCCAGCTCCGTGTCCAAATAGAATCCCTCAAAAGATAGGAAACCAAACGTTGGGTGCTAGTGGTAGGTTGCATGGTCCAACCAATTGAAATGCATTAGGGGTTGTCCCTGTTTATGTTGGGGCGATGTTAACGGCTCAAGATATCTCTATGTTTATCGGCACAAGCCAGTTCCTGGAAGTTGGGCATGTCCTGATCCTTGTGGTTTCTATATTGCTCGGGCCCTAGGGCTCTTGACCCCTCTGTACTTGTACTGAGTTGACTGTCATCAAGCTTCCCTTCATCTCTAACTGGTAATGTTGACCTCGGATGACTAAACCCCTTGTTGATTCATGCAGGGGTGTCCCATTAGGATTCGGATCACTTTTGGATCGCTTGTTTCCCACCATTCATAATTTTGGGGTTGGGTTGATTAATCCGGGTCAACGTTCAACCTGACCAGGGATCGACAAGCTTTGCCGCTTCCCGCTGATTGTCATGCTGAGCTTACCTTTTTAACTGCTTGCCTTTTTGGGTTTCCAACATTGTTTGCATGTACCTCATTTCGGTGATTTCGGTGGTTAGATGCTCGTCTTAGACCGGTAGCTTTAACCATAGCGATGCGGGAGCAAGCAATTCAACTTTTCGCTGGAGTTGGATCAGTGCTCCGAAGACCTTGCAACATAGAAGTTTGGCCACCTGGAAAAGGAGAGCAACAGGACCCACCAAGTTTCTATCCTGGTTTGTATATATATTTTTTTGGAGTTGAGAACAACCCTGTTGTATGTTCCTTTGACACATCACGAGAAAAGCTCGCTCCCTGAACGTGTGCAAGGTGATGTTTCAACTAGCCCAAAAGGGGTACATAATGTTGACCCTTCAACCAGCAATTTTATGCAGATGGAAAGTCACGAAAACAGGAGCCTAGTGGAGGCCAAAGCAGCAAGATACACCCCCCTTGAGAAAAAAGATGTGTGATGCCTTGGTTCCCAGGGTGGGGGGGTGTGCATTCCACTTCCCAGAACCTCTCCCTCGGTGGGTTTCTGTTTCTGCCTCTGAAACGTGTCTTAAATTGAGGTGACCGCTAAATTGGTTTCCTTTTGGTTTCTCTTTATTGCCACAAAAAAGGGTACCCTCAATAAACACACTTCCCATTGAATTTGTCTGAACATGCTTGGCAAAGTCACTCTTGCCAACATCAGATCCATACGGGCTCGTTTCGACTGTTTGTGGGGCCTGAATGGGACCTTGACAGGTCGGGGGTTGGTGGGTTCTCCGTGCAGCCAGATCTTCTTCGCACGCATCATGCTTGTTTCTCCTGGTTGTCTTTCTTTCTGCCGCGTTTCAGCCCTTCCAAGTCAGGGTACGTAGGACAATCCTCCTTGAACAATTCGTTCAGAAGGCCCGAAAGCTGGCCCAGGCCTTTCAAGTACCAGACCATGCACTTCCACAGCGTCTGCGAAGGTGGGGAGACTTGGCCTGGAGCCCAGATTCCAACGTCCCAGAGATCGCAAGCAACGGCAGCTGTCGGATCCCATTTCCCTCTGGGCTTAGGGGTTCGGCCTGGGCCTATGGATGGGCCAGCTTGAGTCTTTCCACTTGATGTTCCTTCAGGGATTAAGGAGGAAGCCTTTCAGAAGGATCTCGGACTTGGAGGCGGCTAGAATTTGCAAGATGGTGCTTCAAAACATTGCTTGTTGGAAATGCCAATGAAATCATGGCTGGGTTTTGGTGGATCCGGAAAAGCTCCTTAGATTGTTTCCTGTTTAGTTGAACCTAGTTGTTTTTATTCAATTTTTGGAATCCATGATCCGTGCGTGGACATTTGACCAAGTTTGGGCCTCAGGAAGCGAGCCTTGGCTCATTTCAATGAGCTTCATCCTTGTGGTTGGCTTAAAAGGGAGCCCAAAAGGACGCGGTTGCCATGGTCAAAGCTCAAACCCTTGGCCCCAGATGTTCAGTTGCATCCTCGAAATCCCCCTTGGCTTGGTGGGTTCCCGTCCAAGAAGGCTCAATCCCCAAGCTGTTTGCTTTTCTACTCGGGAGTCTCCACGACCCTGACACAAATGAGGCCATCTCATAAGGATCGTGACCGGTCACTGGTCGCGTCGCGATCTCGACGGAGCCGATCCGAGGTTCGTCCCCTTGAAGGAGTTCTATGAAATGCAGGACGCGGAGACCAAAGCCCGTTCGTGTGCCCAGAGTGCGGCCAGGGCTCGTTCCCTGCCATGTAGGTTGCTTCCTCAAGAATTACAGGTCCCTTGGCTGGATTTTTTGCACGGATTGCAGAACTGGAGATCTATTTTACCACAAAGCAGCGGATCGCAAAAGAGCAAATGAGAGATTGGTTTCATGGCTCTATGTGCTTGGATCGGGGTACATTTTAGTGGTAGCTTAGCTGTTCAAAAGGTGCATTTGTTGAGGTCCCAAACCTGCCAATGAAGGTCCCATGAAGGCCCGCTGCTTCTCCAAAGGGGGGTCCACTGATGCTTAGGGTAAACAAAAGTTGTTTCGACTTTGTTTGGGCAATCCACGCCGAAAATGAGCTTGACCCAGGACAGTTGACACTTGATTCACGAAACCATTCGAAGCAGTCAGTCAAAAAAAGGAAACTCACAGGGCTTTAAGTATGAGTTCAACGGAAACATTCCAAGCAACTTAAGCATTTCCTCGATTCTTATAGTTCCCAGCGCGTCCTGGTAACCCGTATAGGTAACCGGCCCATGTTTACCATTTGTTCAGGAACCAAATGAATTCCTGAATTAGGCTCAAATTAATCAATCCAAACGAGATGTTCCCTTAAGGAAACCATAAGGGATGTTTAATCTCAAGTGTCATTCCATTTTTCATTCCTGCCCATCGAACCAAGTTGGATGAACTCATGCCCAAGCCCTATACCGGCAACACGCCAGGTTCCTTTTGGTTGCTTTTAGGGTGGTTCCATAGGTTACCTATGTACCAACAAGATGGTTCTAGGATTGGTCTTACCCTGGGATTCAATCCACCCTTAAAACAATGGGGCTCATACAACCGCCATTGTTTACCTAAGGGTTGTCATCCTCCGAATTGGGTCAACCTTCCTTTTTCTGGGGGTTGAACCCAAAGGCTTAGGCTTCCTTTTGGTTGTGTTTAGGGTTAGTTCCTCCCCTTGCCGCTTACTGCTTCGCCGCTCCGGTCGCGATATTCGCGAAGTCCGAGGCTGGGAGAGATACTGGATGCTCCCGCGCCGGGACCTTGCACATCCACTGGTGTACAAGCACCCCGTGCGCCAGGCGCACGGATTTTATATCGAGCCAGTGGGTTGCTTTGGAGTGTGCTATTTTTTTCAGGACCATGTGCCAGGGAAATCCCCTCAGGGTCGAGACTGTCGTTTCTGTCTGATTGGATTTTGGATGCCCCTAGTTTTTGAGCCCGTTCCGTTGCGCAGGTTGGAGTACTGGAAACGTTACGTTCTTCATAAGCCCCGATCGCTCGGAACTGGATGTCTGGAATTCCAAGCCGTTGAAAAGTCCAGGAAGGCCATGGCACATCCTGATGCGAAGGCCTCCTCGAAAGTTGATGTCGAAAGCTTTCTCTGCACTGACCCATGTTTAATTCAAATTCTTCGAGTACAGCTTTTGGTTGGTCAAGGGTGAACCCAAGGGTGAACCAAAAGAAATCCCTTGCCATTGGCCGAGTCCTAGTTTTGAGATTCAGCTGACAACAGTTGACCCTCCGTTGGTTGATATCATACCCTAAGTGCTAAGTGGTGCATTTTCTTGGGGAATCCCCCTGTTGGGTTTTAAGGGAAACCCCGAAACCACCTGTTAGGTCACCAAATTTTGAGACAAACCCAACTGGGGGCTGTCTCCAAGAGGTGGACATGATGGTTTTCGAGAGAAACAAAAGGGAACTCGGGTGTTTGGTGTAGGTTCACCTTTCGACCTGGTGCTATGTTTCAGCTTCCTATTTGGTGCCTTGGAGCCTGGTGCTTTGGAGGTGTGGAGGTTGGGTGGTTTCCCATTTGCCCTATATAACCAAGAAGGGGTTCAAATCCAAACCCAAACCAGAAATCCGACCACCAATTGGAGACCTGGACGTTGGCAACCATGTTCGGTCAAGGTTCCTCTTGGGTTTCAGCCTCGATTCGGCAAATTGTCTGGTGGGTTGGAAACTGGGAAGTTGTGCTTCGTGTTTTGGGTCCCTTGACCAAATCGGTGCTGGTTGTTGAACCAACTACTGTAGCCCAGCCAAAACATCTCCCAAACATTTCTGCCAACCAACAAACCAAGCAAGCAAACAAGCACGCGCGCAAGCAAGCAAGCAAGCAGCGAAGCAAGCAGCGAAGCAACGAAGCGACGAAGCCACGAAGCCACGAAGCAACGAAGCGACGAAGCCACGAAGCAACGAAGCGACGAAGCCACGAAGCAACGAAGCGACGAAGCCACGAAGCAAGTAAGCGACGAAGCCACGAAGCAACGAAGCGACGAAGCCACGAAGCAACGAAGCGACGAAGCCACGAAGCAACGAAGCGACGAAGCCACGAAGCAACGAAGCGACGAAGCAACGAAGCAAGTCAGCAAAACTGCGAGGACACCACCCTGCTCTTCCATTGCGGCCCGCCCTTCGTAGAGGGCTGGATCGTGGATCCGGCCTCAGACCAGGGATCCCCCTGCTCCAAAAGCGGCAAGCGAGGTTATTCCGTGGGTTTCCTCCAAAACTAGTTGTAAGTAATTGTGAAGCAGAATCAGATGTGTTTTTCATGTAACCAGATTTGTGCCAAGATGTGGGGTTGTAAAGCGAGCTCACCCAGGAGTGCCTTTTGTCCGGCTCAGAAGCTTTGCGTACATGCCCAGAAATACCCCAGATTGTTTGTATCAGAAAACGGAGGTCTTTTCAATACGTACTCTCAAAAAGGCAAATTTGAATTTGGGGCTATGTGTTAAGCCGCCTGGCTGGGAAGCAACTGCAAGGAGTGAGTTTGTTAGTTGGTTGGTTAGTTTGTTTGCTTGTTTGTTAGCTTGCTTGTTTGATTGTTTGTTCCCCACCCGGCAGGTTTGGGGTTGAGAGATTTGAAGTGACATGCGGCCGCCACAACCAGCCGCCCGCTGACAGAGTCTGTGACAGAAACCTGCGACAGAGCCTGTGACAGACAGATGTGACACGCAGCTGTGACAGAGCCTGTGACGCACAGCTGCGACAGAGCCGGCAACATTCGTCAGCGGCCGGAGCCTGAACCTCCAGCCAGCGGCCAGTCCAGGCACCTGCGAAAGGCCCCGGCCAGGACAGCTGACAGTCGGAAGCCCGGGCCAGGACACCAGTGACAAGCTGTAACAAGCCAGTGGCCGGGCCAGACGCCAAAGACCGAGGCGTGGGTCGACGCCAGAGCAGGCAATGAGCCAGGCAGAGTAGTTCAGGTGGCTGATGTGACATTTTTAACAACAAGTTACGCCGCTTTGCTGAGGGCTTTCGTTTTGCGCTGGGCCGCTTGGCTGCAAAAATTCATCGGCGCTCAAAGGTGTGGTGGCTTGGCCATTTGTGTGACAAAGGTGCGCCAAAGCAACAAGGTCAGGAACAGATTCTCATGGCAGCCGTCGCAGTTTTCGTGGCCGGCGCAGCACCTCCGCAAGGTCAAGTGGCAGATGTCATGGCAAGCGCAGAGGTGGAGATTTCAAGGCGGGTGTAGATTTCGTGCAGGTGCAGCACTTTTGCAATCCCAGATACAAGTTCTGACAGACTTGGGTTTGACGGAGTTTCTTTTCCGTGATTTGCTAGCAGCATGCTTGCGGACCGCACGCAGTCGGAGGATTGTTCGAAAAAAGTATCTGTCTTTTGTCATATTTACGGGACACGAATCTACGAAGGCCGGCTTCGGTGTCTGCAAAAAGGCTGAGGTGGGCTTGGGCTCTGTTGTATTGAGGACTGCTACATCTTGTCAAGCAGGCCAACAGAACAGGCGCAAGTATTTTGTGGTTCCACATTGGGGCAAGTAAGGCCTGAATGTCCAGCCCATTTTGTTTATAGGGTCAGCCCCCAGCCCATTCGGATTTGATTAGGTTCCAATGGCTCCACTTGCTTTGCCTCTGAGCCGGGGTTCCATGTTAAACTGCTGGAAGGCAACTCAGGGTTTGTGTTTTAGACCTGTGGGCCCTCTTAGGTCAGGGGTTGAATTGGTTTCAGAAAGCTTCTTCATTCGGGTCGAAACATGCTGGAGTCGGATTTGAGGACTCTGACGCAGAGAACACCCGAGAGAGGCTGGCAGTGCTCAAACCCGTATGGCTCAAACGCTGAATGTATCCGCACAAATTGGAAGCGCTCAAGGATTCAGGGGTAAACCAGCTCAGAATGTCTCTTTACTTAGAAACTTCTTGATTCCAATGTGTTTGCGTGTGAATTATACTACTTTCCACATGTGCGAACCCATGAATCGCGTCTAGGAGACCAGCCGAAATCTCTATTCAGGAACAAAGTTACCTTGTAGCTGGGATTGTGCTTATTGGTCGGTTAAGCTCACTCGCGTTGACTCGACGCATCGCGGAAGAAGATGATGGCCCCTTCGCGAGGTACAGAAATGGCGCGCAGATGCAGTTAGCCGTTGCGCTGGGTCGTGTGTGTTTTTAATGTAGCCGCGTTGTCGGTCATGTTCTGCCTGGAACTATGTGGTTATTCAGGTTGGTAGACAAAATCCAGATCCAACACGAGACTTCAATGAAGCGCGGGCAAAGGAGCGCGATTGAACCTAAAATGCTTCAGGCAAGAGAAGCAGGCAACCACACTGCGAATGCTTTAATGTTTGGAAAGAACCTGCCACCAATCCAAATCACCAGCTCGTAAGCTTCCACTCGGGCGCATGACAATTCGGCCCGATAGAAATTGGCTGTGTTTACCTACTTATAAGCTCCCAAGTGCTGTTAGCCTGCTCGTTATAGCCTAGGAAACGAGCCACTTATTGTCTTGGCCGAACACCCAAGCAAGTTGAGTTTTGACCCGGTCGCTATTCCAGTCTCAGTCTGGAGATGGGCTATATGCCTTGTGCCCCCAAAGTCGTCCCCGAAACAATTTTTTGTAGTTCGCGCAGCGACTCCCCCAGTATTGTTTTGGGAGAGGTTCCTTTTTTTCACGGCCGCTGGGACGGGGGCGCAGATGACCGTCTGGAATTGTTTTGTTTAGTTGGAAGCTGGGCCCTGTACCTTACGTGCTTGGAAGATGGTGTTGGTAGTTGAATGGGCAGGCCTGGTTTGTCAGCAACCCCGGTTTGATGCAAACGTCATGATCCAGAGGATCATTGGGGGCATGCTCCGCAAAAAACAAACTTTGTTTCCTTTGTGTCTTGTGGAGCCACGAAAAAAGGGGATGCTGCATTATGACAATTCCCAATCGTTTCGCGCTCGGGTACAAGATGGAGCCAGACCTCAGTCTGGCTGCGATAAAGGGACTGATAAGGCTGTAATGGGAGAGAAGTTGATCCTGCGTTACAACGGCGCAGGGTGGTTTCTGAGAGGCTTGTCACGCAACGAGGGCAACGTCCACTTTTGCCAAACAGTTTTTTCGGACGAAAGAAGATGTGATTGTTGGTGGCTAGCACCAGTGGGCTGCTTGGAAGCACACATGCGTGTGTGGGCAGTGTTTCAGTTGCACTGTCGAGACGCATTAAAACAATGCTCTTAGCCAAGGAGGTCATGACATGCAGGCACAGATCCGACCAAGCCAGCTTGCTTGCAAGGGGACATAGTGTCCGCGCGCACCAAGTGTCGCTGTGCCAGCGTGTTGGCAGAACTGGCCATTTTACCCACCCTCGTTCTATACCACTTAACGTGCATATCTCACTCTATCAGTTTCTTGTTAATCGTAGTTGTTTGGGGAGTTTGATGGCAAACATAAAGTTTGGGAGCTTTCTGTTGCCAATACACTGAGGAAGTGAGATATACTGCGTCAGAAGCTTACGTAAGTGATATAGCACCCATACCTGAAACACCTTAAAGCGCGGCAGCGCCCTGGAATGAGGGTAGCTTTGAGGATGTCACTTCAATTCAGGGGTCCCTAAACTAAACGTTCCGATCGCTTGCCCCAAGGACGTTCTCATGAGAACGTCCTATGGCACAAGCTATAGGAACCCGCCGGCTCTAAACGGAAACCGCACGGCAAATTACAATTCCTGAGTGTTGCCTGTTTTGGGGCCGCCATTTGTTAGAACCCTTCTGGGACAGCCAACGGACCCAGACACCTAAGATGCTCAGATGCTTTCAGACGCCGACTGGGTTAACGGTTAAGCCTCAAGCCGCATGGCTGATGGCAGGCAGCCAGAGAGGATGCTCCGCGCGAAGGTGGTGCAGGAATGGAACCGAGGGGACCAGTAAAAACAATTGTTAAATAGAAAAATAAAGACTAAATAATATGTGTATATAGATATCTATATATGTATATATAAATAGAAAAATAAAGACTAAATAATATATATATATATATGTATATATATATATGTGTGATAGGGGAATTTACAGACCGACCTCGTTTGTATTCTTCTAGGCGTGTTTGCAGGGAAACCTTCAAACTGGGGGCTGCCTTGCAACATGTGGCGCCCCTTTGCTTTAAGGACCGAAGAAAACAGGCATCGAGCTTTAAACGGCGCCCCTATGCGAATTGTTCTTGTTTGTCATTTCATGGGGCTGAAAAGCCTTGCTCCCTACATTCGACTTCGCCCCCTAGTTGTAAAAAGTTTGATATCATGGGAACCCAGAATTCACAAATCCCAGGCATACTTCGAGAGGCTGGCGGCAGGTTCTGCTTAAATCCCGGGCCAACCTCAATCAACATCTAGAATCAAGGGTATTTGCCCGAACTCACGCCAAGGATCATGAGAGAACAGCTGCTGCGTCGCCAACCCACAAGGTGATGTCAGTCTATTTGTGGGGTCCCCCAATTTTCGCGCATACCCTTTCTTGCATTTGCTTAAGACTATTTTTATTTTCATGTCTTGGTTTTACAGGGAATCTATCACTACTGGACAGATTTTGTTGTTTTCCCAGGGGGCTCTACTGCAACTGGAAGCTGTTCCTTCATAACCCCCCCCCCCCGCCCGCGCGCTCGGATCACCCGCGTGCTCTGGGGAAACCGCTCGCCGAGCCGAGAAGCGGCTGGAAGGACGAGCTGACGGAGAAGCTGGATCAGGCGGTAGAGAAGATCGGGATCAAGATGAAGTGGGAGGCCTGCAGAGGTGTTACCTTTTACGGTATTTATATATGCTGTGTTGTGTTTCTTCATTTTTTCGGGTTGTTCCTCTCTTTTTTTCGGGGACTTATATATCAATATGCTATACCTATTTTAGAACAGAAACCTGTTATATGAGAGTTGATCTAAAGGTCCTTGCTTTACAATATGAAGGGGACGACCATTTGGTACCATCCATGATCCCCCGCGAAAGCTCCGCGATGGACTTCGCGAAAGTATTTTTTTTTCGCGAAAGTTTTTCGTGCATTACGTGAATCACTGGTCTTATAGGACCTCGGACATATGGGATTGGGTATGTGGTTTTCATGCGAGCGGACTTGCTGACAGGGGGCCTGTGTGCAGCGACAGGGGGCCTTGAAGAGCGACACCCCAGCCAGCCATGACAGCCAACCACAACACATGTTTTGACCGCCGCACATATGGGACAGTGCCCCGTGTAACGTTGCTAAAGTGTTGAGGGCCCCTTTGGGCCCGCGGATGAATCCAACTTGTCAGCCACATTTCCACCAATGTTTGGCGCAAGATCCGCGAAAGTTTCGCGAAAGTTCATGGACCTCTCAGCCCGCTTCCGCACATGGCTGGCCAACGGGGCTGCTCCTGCCAAGACAGTGGGCTAGCACTTCCACTTCCGGGAGCAGCACAGACAGTGCTTCAGACTAACGGCAACCAAGCCAACGCAGCTAAAATTTGGCTGCGACTTGCTGTTGCGCTTCTGCTCATGAACCACCACAGGGTTGCGTCCACTTGCAGTTTTATAGGGAACTCCATATGGCACACAACACATGACCCCAGCGCACCCATTGTTCGCATACGAGCAATACGAGCTGGGGCAAACTTAAGGGGGGCGGTTGCCTTACGATGTTCTATACAACAAACCTGCCGGCAGGGCATGGGTATGATTATCGGCGCCACCAATAACATCGTGTTCGTAGTCCTGGACATTCTTCGGCTTTCGCAGTTCCAGTTTCTACTTGTGAAAGGGGTGGTTCTCGTAAGGGTAGCTGCGCGATGAGGGTCGCGAAAGTTTCGCGAAAGAGAAATTTTTTTTCGCGAAGAATGGCCGTTCCAGGAACAAGGAATTTAGATCAACGGCCATATGTTCATGGAGGCGGGTAGCTGGCTGTGCTCCTTGCAGTTGCCCTTCCTCCCACGCTGCCATGGCACCTGTGACAAGGTACCTGGAAGATTAAAATTCCTTTTGAAGAGTTGCCATGTTAGTGGGAGGGTAAATGTTTGTCTTGGGCGGGTAGCTGCCTGCAAAGGTGTTCATGGCCGCGCTTTGCTTAAGAGTATGTTTTTGTTGTGTCATTCCCTTGTTGGTTTTAAAAGGAATTCATCGCTACTGTTTTTTTTTTTTTTTTTTTTTTTTATGTTTTTTCCTGGGGCCTTAACCAAATGGAAGTCATGGCTGCGCTTTGCAAGTTAAATGTTTGTGTTGGGCGTCCTTGTTTTGGGAGATGGGGAGCGGGGTCCACTAGAAGGCATACGCATCAAAAATAATAATGTAGGATCATTTACACAAAAAGCCGGATCAAAATTATTCCAGAACATGTGAAGGCGAAGATAGGAGAAGGCGGTTCGCAAGTTAGTATCCGGGAGCAAAGGGCGGTTAGTAAGTTAGCATACAGGGGTTGGTAAGTTAGCAAGCCAGCAAGTTAGCCAGTTAGCAAGTTAGCAAGTTAGTAGGTGCGCCAGTTAGAATAAGTTAGTCAGTTAGTAAGTTAGCAAGTTAGCCAGTTTGCCAGTTAGCAAGCTAGTAAGGTAGGTGCGCCAGTCGCTGCGCCAGTTGGTAAAGTTAACAAGGTAGAGTGGAACAGGGAGAGGCTAAGTTAGTGTGGAGGAAATAGCAGTTAGCGTGGTAGCAGTGCAATTGCTACCACTAGACTACTACTGCTACCACGGGCTGCTGTGTCGCACATGCGGAACCTGCCGTGGGGGGGGTGGTCAGATCAGCATCGGTTGCTCAGGCTCTCCCTGATGTGGCAGGGGTCGGGGGGTGCGTGGGGTTCGAAAGAGGAGCCTTCCGGTGTTGAAAAAGAGTCTTTCCGCGTTTCGGCTTGAGTCTCCCTCCCACCCACCCCCAAGGACAAAAGTGAAACCGCCTAAAAGCGTGTGAACAACCAAGTCCACCACGTCTACGAACCGACAACGTGACATTTGAGTGTGCCTACAGGGTTGAGTCGGCTTGGGGTAGGAGTAGAAGTCTTTGTATTGATCTCCTTGTGTTTTCTCGGATGGGGCTCCTTTTTTTTAAGGGTCAGAAGGAGACACTCCTGGTGTCAACGTGAACGACATCGGAGTTCTGCATCCGTCTAAACCGTTTTGGATCGAGTGCCCAACGAGCGCCCAGCCTTTGCTGGGCCCCCCAAATGGTAGTGGGTGGTTCGAATACTGGGTTATACCTGGAAAGCTCAAAAGTGCTGAATTTCTGCCGCTGATTGAAATTGCACTAATTTTCGCCGCTTCTGCCAAGAAACGCTTTTGGTCCCCAAAAACGCCGTTGGAGCAATTCGTGCATATTCAAGAACTGCTGTGAACGGGCAAAAACGCCGTTTGATAAAGCGCGGTTTGATTGGCAAAAAACGCTGTTGGTGAAAGCCATTCTCCCAGACTAAAAGATCAGTTTTCGTTCAAAAGGCGGAAATCGTACACACCTTGGGATTTCCAGGTATTTTAGATTTTCCCCAACATTCTGTTGCAATTTGGGGTAGGCCAAATGTGAAACACAATCTGGTGTAATTACCCCAGAGTTGGGCCAAGTTCTGCCACGCACCGTCTTCAGACAGGTAGGCTCAAACGCCGACTTCCCGCCAGGAGGGGGACTTTGCGATCAACGACAATGTGGGGAACTGCCCGCAACCCCGGGTTTGGTTGCGCGCTTGTCTGGCTGAACTGGCAATTGCTCATGTTTTTAAAGTTTTTTTTTGCATTTTGCATTTGTCCAGTTTTTCGCGGGCATTTGTTGCTCGATTTATGTCGCTGAGGTTGACTCTAGAGAAGTTAATTGTTTGGGTTTCAAGTTGTTTTTCGGTGGGAAGGGGGGGGGCAGGACGGGACAATAATAATGCGCCTGTGTGCCCATTGTTGCGAAAGGCTTGGTTCCTGCAGCATCGTTTTTCGCTGGCTGCTCGCCTTCGGAGAGTCGGAACGGAATTATCTTTTTTCATCTCGTTTGTTGTTTGAGGGCTCGGTGGCTTGCCCCGCCCCACCCCCCCTCCTCCCAAGCCCATCAATGATTGACGTTGTTGCGTTTGCTTGCGCGGGTTCGGTGGCTTGCCCCGCCCGGCCCCCTTAAACAAATCCTTTCGCTGGTTTTGGCGGCATGCCCCATCCAGCAATAGGGTGCCCAGCTCCCCCTTCCTCCAAAGTGAAGCCCGCCAACGATTGAAGTTGTTGCATGTGCTTGTGCTTGCGGGTTCGGTGGCTTGCCCCGCCCGGCCCCTACGCCTTCTGCAAGCAAGAGGGAAGGCGTCTCAGGGCAAAAGAGTCTCACAGGAAAGCTGTGAGCTGACGAACGGACATGCGTGATGCGACGCAAGAGCCGCCCAAGTCGTATGTTTCTTGCGGATCATATTTTTCAAGCGGATAGATGTGTTTTTGCAGAGCAGATATGCTTGTTGCGGTGTGCGCTTGCGGGTTCGGTGGCTTGCCCCGCCCGGCGCCCACAATGACTTACGCTGGTTTCGGTGGCATGCCCCATCCAGCAGTAAGGATTCAGAAGGGGCGCTTCTGAAACCGCCCTTTTCCGGAAGCGTTCTCAGAAAGGCTTTCGTGTGTAAGGGCGGCTCGAAAAACAAGACTTTCGTGGGAAGTCTGCCTGCAAGCTGCGGGCGCGCGCATTGTTACTACCAGACTTTTAGTGGGGCCTGGCCCCACGCCAAATCTGGACTAGTGACCTTAAAGTTTTCCTGATTGTGCGGTTACACAGACTCAATGGCGACAGCTCAGAAGGCAGTTGTTTTCTATTGCTTCCAAGGTTTGGTCACTGCGGCCCGCTTGCAAAACCATCCGTGCTTGGCAAGTCAAGACGCGCTGTGTTCGCTTGGCGGCTCTTAGACAAGTTAGCAGGCGCGGCCGTGTTTTGGTGGCTTGCCCCATCACTGGCGTGAAAGCTGCAGCCATGTCGATTGCGCTCGTTGCTGGCGTCATCGTAGGTTTCTTCATGGGCGTGGTTGTGCCAATTGGCGGGAAGGGCCTCAAAGGCGGCAGCGCGGCGGGCAAGGGTCAGACTGACGAGCAAGGCAGCCGCAGCAGCGACGGCGTTGGCGGCTTACCTCAGCCTGGAAAATAGTCTTCACATGAATGTCGTGCGGCAGTACCTCTTCGGCCGCTTGTGGGCACACATGCAGAGCCCAAGCAGTCAGTATTACGCTGCAGAGCTGCGCGACGCTCTGCAGGCCAGTGCTTTGTTTTATGCACAGACGCAGTGTTTATTCTGCTGCTTTAATATTTCAAACCAGTCTGAAACCAAGTGGTCTCGCCGTGCCTGCCAACCACGACGCAGGCGGACAGCGGTGACAGCAACTTGACGAGGGGCAAGGCCGGAGGAAAAGCGCCGCCGGTGAGCAAAGCCAGGCTGGGCAGCTTGGCCCAGTGCCTCCTCCTGCCAAGAACGGGGGGGCAGGGCGGCCGAACAGTGGCTCGGCGCTGGTCGACCTGGTGGAGAACATGCTGAAAGCTGCGCCGCCTGCTCCAGGCGCCGGACCAGCCCCCAAGCAGGGCAGACGAGTCAAGGCTAAGGCTGCCGCGCCGCCGGCCACTGAAGACCCAGCCGAGGAAGAGGAGGACGACCCCACGGACAGGGAGCCCAACTGAGCCGCAACGCTGGGCTTTTGCGCGCTCTGCCGCGTAAGTTTGTGAGTTTGGCAACCATGATGTGGCTCAGGCGGCGTGCCCCGGCCCGCGTTGGTGGCTTGCCCCAGCACATTGGATTTGTGTCGGCGGCGTGCCCCCGCTGCTGCTGCAGAGAGATGTCAAACGCAGATCGAACGGTGCTTAAAACATGCGGCCAGCCAAGGACATTGAATCAGGACGTCCGGCGTCATGAAGTGCTGAGGATCAAGGGTTGCCGAGAGACAGTCCGGTCACGTCCATCCAGTTTCCCACATGACACGTACGCTCGCCCGATCAGCTTGGTCCGCGGAAAAAAACTTAAGTTTTTTTCCACAGACCCCATTTGTCCAGAGGGTCTCCGGTTTCCATAAGTTGTCTCCACAAACCACAGCGCTGCGGACCGTCGAGTGGACTACAATTCTTGGATTTCGGGGAACGCAAAATTCCCGGTGTTCGAACGTTTCTAGTTCTTTGGACAGTCCACAGCGCTGCGGCTTGTTGAGTCGACCTTCGGATTCCAGAGGCCCTCTGGACAGGAACTTCGTGCGTAAACTTAAGTTTTTTTCCGCAAGCGCCCTCTGGACAGAGCTCTGGCCCAAGCTGCCCGGAATGTCCGCGCAGAGCGCATGGGCCCGCTTTGGCAGGCGGTGGACCGAGCAGTTCCCGTGGCTGGAGGCTGTGCAGTGGGACACAGGCGACTTCTCCGTCAGCTGTGCTGCCTGCAAAGCTGCTGGGCATGTGTCAGCGGAGTTTCGAACCATTGCTTCATTGCAGGTCAGCCACTTCCGAGACCATGAGAAAACCAAAAGGCACCAGGCCGCAGCATCAAATGAAGACATCCGACTGCGTCTGATGGCCCCATCTCTCGAAGAGTTCATCGCAGTTCTGCGAGCTACACGCAAGGGAAAAGATGGCGGTGATGATGGGATTGCCTGGTCCGGCGGCAAGATCCTTCGCCGCCGAGCCCAGAAGCTCAAGTTTTGCTTGGCCGAGTCGCTGCGGGCTCGCACGCGACAAACGCTCAACGCTGCCTCCTGCGTCACTGTGCACTCGGACTGCTCAAAGACGATCCTTGTCTTGCGAGGGCAAACGTGCGCAGAGGATTTGCGTCCTCAGCACATGCTTCTGGGCGCACGGAAGCTTCATGACTTCTCTGCGGTCGGAGTTGCCACGGCTGTTGTGCATTTGCTTCATGATTTGGCCACCCCTTTTGCTGGTGCAGAAGAATTCAAGGACTGCCTGAAGCCAACTGTGCCAGCTCAGGTGGCTTGTCCCCAGCTGGACGCAGTTGCGTTTCAGCAGTGGCTTGGGCGCGTTGAGGTGTTCAACGCCGACGCAGCAGCCGACGAGCAGCTGGCGGGACAGGTACCTTGTCGTCGGAGCACGAAGCTTTTGCTCAGCTATACTGCGATTTGGCAGACATGGACACGGGCACGCTGCAAGTCTTTCCGAACCTGAAGTTTGTAACCCTTTTTTTGTTTGTGGCCACGGCCTAGCTCCACCAAGGTTTGAAAAAGACTGGCCAGTTGCTGCGTGTCCAGAGCTTCCCTTCCAACGGGTGGAGCTTTTTTCTTTTTTGATAGGCAGGCGTCTAAATGCGTTTGACCACAGAACTTTACAGTCTGACAGTGGCTTCTTAAGGGCCGACATTGCTCAAGATCCACTTCCTCACGGCGAGCTGTGTGGCACTTGTTCTTCACGTCCTTTTTGGCTCTGCACTTCTTGTAGGAGCAAAGCTGCTTCACTGCGCTGCCTTTTTTGCGAGCAGGCCCCCGTGCCATTGGTAGACTTTCTCACGCTATTTCCCTTCTACGGGCAGTTCAACATGTCAGAGCCGAAATTTCAAAAAACCAAACAAGACTTGCAGGCAGACTTCCCACGAAAGTCTTGTTTTTCGAGCCGCCCTTACACACGAAAGCCTTTCTGAGAACGCTTCCGGAAAAGGGCGGTTTCAGAAGCGCCCCTTCTGAATCCTTACTGCTGGATGGGGCATGCCACCGAAACCAGCGTAAGTCATTGTGGGCGCCGGGCGGGGCAAGCCACCGAACCCGCAAGCGCACACCGCAACAAGCATATCTGCTCTGCAAAAACACATCTATCCGCTTGAAAAATATGATCCGCAAGAAACATACGACTTGGGCGGCTCTTGCGTCGCATCACGCATGTCCGTTCGTCAGCTCACAGCTTTCCTGTGAGACTCTTTTGCCCTGAGACGCCTTCCCTCTTGCTTGCAGAAGGCGTAGGGGCCGGGCGGGGCAAGCCACCGAACCCGCAAGCACAAGCACATGCAACAACTTCAATCGTTGGCGGGCTTCACTTTGGAGGAAGGGGGAGCTGGGCACCCTATTGCTGGATGGGGCATGCCGCCAAAACCAGCGAAAGGATTTGTTTAAGGGGGCCGGGCGGGGCAAGCCACCGAACCCGCGCAAGCAAACGCAACAACGTCAATCATTGATGGGCTTGGGAGGAGGGGGGGTGGGGCGGGGCAAGCCACCGAGCCCTCAAACAACAAACGAGATGAAAAAAGATAATTCCGTTCCGACTCTCCGAAGGCGAGCAGCCAGCGAAAAACGATGCTGCAGGAATCAAGCCTTTCGCAACAATGGGCACACAGGCGCATTATTATTGTCCCGTCCTGCCCCCCCCCCTTCCCACCGAAAAACAACTTGAAACCCAAACAATTAACTTCTCTAAAGTCAACCTCAGCGACATAAATCGAGCAACAAATGCCCGCGAAAAACTGGAAAAATGCAAAATGCAAAAAAAAACTTTAAAAACATGAACAATTGCCAGTTCAGCTGGTAAGTAATCCGAACGCTGCAAACAGGTGGTCCCTTTTTGGCTTCCCTCTAAACCAACCCCAAAAAGGTTAGCCTTAAAAAAGACACCCTTGCGCTCAGAGTCCGGTCGGGGCTGTCTAGCTTAAGCTTGCTCTGGTCGAGTGAGGACAGCAAGCTGCTGGGGTCTCAAACGGACTGCCTGTTCTGTGCGCACGTCGGTTGGGAGCACAACCTGGTTTCCTGAAGATGGGCAGCGTTGAGGGGTCCAAGTATGTCCAAGTAAGTGGGATAACCTTAAGGCCCCCTAAGCAACCGCCCATTTTTTTGTGTTTCCCAGGCCCTCCTCCTGTCAGACCCCACGCGCTTTTGGGGTTCCCAGAACTCAAAACCACGAGGAGAAGTTCCCTCCAAGGGGTTCATTGCTGAACCGGTCTTCGGAGTATCTGGATGATTTTTGTTGGGTTTTATTGAATTTCCAGGTTGCTGGCTTTTCCCGTGCTAAAATATTGCCGTCATCAGATTCCTGGCCGTTCTTTTTGTTCGTCCCGCATGTGCCTATGGCGAGCTCACCTGGGGGAACAACTGTGATGCATGATGAGGGCCTTTGGCAGGATCCGTTTTTTTGGGTTTTGTACATCTTGTTATCAAGTGTGATGGTTATGAATCTTTAATGGGGAACCACCTCTCAAGTTGTTGGTGAACAGTTTCTCCCCACCTACAATTCACCTCCTTTGGCCCTATCAAAAAGTACACCACCAAATCAGAAGGGCCACCGAAGGCTAGGCAACCAATTCCAGGAACAAGGAAGGAACCGGGAAGGCGACGGGCCAAGGTTTCGCCGCTGGTTTCCCCCCCAAAAATGACCGAACCCTGAGGGCCGAACACTGAGCCGGGCTTTCCGAAGGCCATGGTTCCCTTCCGGCGATACGGATCTTGGGATCTTTGGACTTGGGGAGGATGTTCCAATTCAATCGGATCCACCAAAAGCCAACAACTTTTTGCTGAGGGGTCAACTGCAACCAAGTTCTTGGCATGGGCTGAAGTGTGGTGCTGCTTTGGCCCGGACCATTTTTCGGTCAAAGCAAGGGTAGAGCATCCGACCAGCAAATGTTGCGAGGGTCAAATGTCTGACCAATGAGGGTGCGTTTGCTAAACGAGGGGAACCCCTCGCTTTGACTTACATGATGGAACCCAGAGGGTTCCGGCAGAAAGCCCCACAGAAACCCAATTGCCCGGTGACGCCCCCTTTTTTCCTTGTTTTGGGGAAGGGTTCCCCTTAAGCTCAACCAGCCAAAAAGATGCCCTTTTGTTCCCGTGGCCGCTGGGCATCTTAGGCCCCAGGGGTGTGAAGCTGGGGTTCATGCGCGCGAAGGTCACTATGCTGCTCCGGGCACGCAGAATCCCAAGGGTCGAGCTGGTCTGAGGAGACGCGGAGCGTATATTTATCAGACTGATTGATCCATGAACCCTACTTGTCGGGTTCAACCCCCATTAAAGGAAAGGTCAACCCTTAGGTAAACAATGGTGGTGATATGAGCCCCCATTGTTTTAATGGTGATTTGAACCCCAGGGTGAACGGTACCAACGATGTTCGTAAATTCTGAAAAGTGTTCTTTGCCCTTGACTGCCCCTTCTTGAATGTTCGGCCAAGTTAGTACGTGGCTAGCCACTTGGGTAATAATGTTAGATAACGATTAATAAAACGGGAGTGAATACAGAAAAAACATCTCAAAATTATTCACTCTCCTGAAAAGCAAAAAGGGTAGGTATTACAGAAAAAATATGCCCGAAATGCCAAAAATATGTCCCCTTCCAAGATGGACTATTTTTGAGGGTTGAAACGTTCCCTTTACTAGAAGATGCACCCTGACAAATGTTCAAGGGGGTGGCACACGGAACCCCCAGGAAGGCAATAGTGCAGTTTGTTTAAGGGTAGGGAATTGTGAAGAAAAAATGGCCAGGGCATCCTGCCAAGAAGAAAGCCCTGCTGTTCTCAGATAAAGCCAGAAATGTCCAGAATCTCTGGATTGCTTCCTGTCCCAAACCACCAAATTCCTTATCAATCCCTTTACTAGAAGATGGACCCTGACAGATTTTTTCAAGGGGGTGGCACACGGAACCCCCAGGAAGGCAATAATGCAGTTTGCTTAAGGGCAGGGAATTGTGAAAAAAATGGCCAGGGCAGCCTGCCAAGAAGAAGAACCAATACTAAGCCAATTCTAAACTGTAGTGAGTCAACTGGAAAGAGTACTGAACTAATACTAAGCCAATTCTAAACAATACTTACTGGAAAACTACTCAGGCACGTCCCAGTCTGACCCCCATTTTGTTTTTGGGGGTTCTCGCTATTGACCCCCCCCCAATTCGTTTGAGGGGGGCGGGCCCTTTATTAATCACTCCCCAACATTACTTATAACCCCCTAAAAACAAACTTAACCCCACTTAGGGGACGCAAAGTGGGTTGTAAGCTAGGTTATCAACAACCTACTTAGCCAAACACCCAGGTACTGAAGTCATGGTTTTTCTCGGTGGATGGGACTGAACAGTCCCCGTAGCTTCGCGGCGATGGCCCAAAGCTCAGCAGTTGGGTCCAAAGGCTTTCAGATACCAGCGGTTGATCAAGCCACAAGTGGACCTTCCACCCAAAATGCGGCTGGAATGTGTTGACCATTCGCTGCCCAAGCGTCCAGAATTCAAAGATCGATCAGGTGTGGGTCCCATTAATTGCAGGTACGTGGCTGTTCGATCTGCCTGCCTGCCTTCCTGACTGCCTTCCAGGGACAAGGCATGCAAGAAACCTTGCTTTGCCTTGCTTGCTTCCTTGCTTCCTTGCTTGTTGCCTTGCCTTGCCTGCCTTGCTTGCCTTGCTTCCTTCCTTGCTTGCTGGCTGGCCTTGCTGGCTGGCCTTGCTGGCTGGCCTTGCTGGCTTGCAGCTTGCCTGCCTGCTCGCTTGCATGCTTGCGTGCTCGCTTGATTGCTTGCTGGCTTGTCTGCTTCCTTGCTTCTTGCTTGCTTGCTTGCTTGCTTGGGTGCTTGTTCTTCGTTTGCGTCCTGTTTGCTGTGCGCACAGTTCTGACCCACCCCACGTGTCGTGCCGTGAAGCCTGAATGATCTTCGATATGCGGTTGGCAAACAAAGTCCCGATTGGGCTGCAGTTTGCGCAGGATCTTACATCGAACCACCATCGCCGGTGAGGACGGAAGGGGTTGTCGCCTGTTCGAAAGATAGCATGCCACTGTTCTGGGAGCTAGACGGTGCATGATTTGTTGATTGTCCGCAGGGGAAACTGAAGGGGATGTAATGTATGAAGGGGATGCAAAGTTTGATTGACTTCTGCACCCATTGCTGTGTCAACATCCACTCACTGGTGCTTTCCCTCAAGACACGTGGGCGTCCTGCTCCTTTAGACCGCTGCTTTCTTTTCTTACATTGTCCCTCAGAACTTCTTACCACAGGGCACTGATTAGTTAAGCATGTTTAGCCTCTTGTCAACAATAAGGCGACTGAGAAGGAAGCTTCCCAAGAAGGAGCGCAAGTGTCTTCCCAACCCTTTCAGCTACCAGGATTGTTGAACAGCGACGTCTCCCCTTTGGTTTGTGCGGGGAGGGTTTCCCTTTGAAAGCAACTGATCAGGGGAGGTTCTGGCATGCACGACGCATCAAGGACGGAATATGCCTCATCTTGCCGCGTGTCTGATTCCACTTGTTAGATCCGGCAAAAACTTGCTTCCTCATTGTTCGAGAGGGTGCATCAAGTTTCCAAACGGAAGCCATACAGACCAACGGTAGAACTATATTTTCCTCCATGTAACCTTCTCTGGACCACATGAACACCTCCCAATCCCCTGGGCCATTTTGGTACATAAACCTCCCGGCGGACCGAGATCCGCGCTCGCGTTTTGCCGCTTTTCTGAAAAATGTGTTTCACCTCAGCGAAACGCACATTGAGTCCCCATAAACCTCCCGAACAGAGGGCTCAGTTTTAGAGGGGTTTTGCGTTTTGCTGAGGCGAAACGCAAATTGTATCGCCCATTCCCTGCCTTCTCCTTTTTCACGTCTTTGCGATCGCTACGACAGCTTGCTGCTCCACATCTCACTGGCGCAAGACATAGCGCCACTGCCACAACTTTACATACAAGAGGAGATGCGTGCTGCACGAAGGCAACGAATTCGGGACATATGCTTTGCAGCTTGACCAGGCCAGTGTGGCAGACGCTTGTTCGCGCCCGCGAAAAGAACATCTTTGGTCAGGCGTGCTATAGCGAAGCAGTCGAGCGGGCGTGCTTACCGCTGTCAGGCATGCGCGCAGCGTTAGAACGCAGCAGTCGGGCGGGTGCGCTTATCATTGTCAGGCGTGCGCGTACGCAGCAGTCGGGCAAGTGTGCTTACCAAGGTCAGGCGTCAGCGCAGTGTTATAACGAAGCACTTTCCATGGTCAGGCGTGCTACAACCAAGCAGTCGAGCTGGTTCGGTTCGGTTGGCATGGTCAGCCTTTCAGAGCTGTAACGCAGCAGTCGGGCGGGTGTCCTTACCATGGTTAGGTGTGCACGCAGTGTTATAACGAAGCAGTCGGGCGGGTGTGCTTACCATGGTCAGGCGTGCGCGCAGCGTTGTGACGAAGCACTTACTATATGGTCAGGCGTGCCATATCGAAGCAGTCGAGCGGTGCGGTTATCATGGTCAGGCGTGCGCGCAGTGCCAGGGCGAAGCAGTGGTGCGCGCGTGCTATGCGGGGTTGCAGGGAAAAGTGCACGCAGTTGAGCGCGGTTTCAGGTCCGCCAGCATAAACCTGCATAGCCATGTCACAGCAAACAAAACAAATGGGTGAAACGGGCGCTATGCAAATTATGTTCACCTCGCAGGACGTGCCCACGAAATTCGACGGTCGGAGCTCCTTTCCCATGGGCTGAGCGGACAAAAACTGTGCAGCCCGTGTGAATCTCAAAAAAAGACCCTTTGCGCTTCATTTGCGGGATTTATGTCCAACATCTCATTTTAACATCCATGGAGGAAATCTGAGGAAACCCATCTTAAATGGGCCCAAGAGGTGTTTGAAACCGGGGGAAATAGGGCCCCCTGTTCCCCCCTGTTTGCTACTCGCTGGATCTTTCGCGCAGCTTTCGGTTGGAGAGGAGACCGGCGAAGGTTTGCTTTGCTTTGCTCGCTTGCAGGTCCAGCTTTAAACCTTGGTTTCGACGACCGTTGGCCCGATCTCCATTTGAAGTCTAGAGGGCAGGTAGCATAGGTGTCCTTTTAGGTTAGTCTGGTTAGACATCGATGGCACTGGTCACTGGTTGAGATTGGTTTTATTCCATTTACCAGGACCATCTGTTTTTCCTAACGGGAAGCTGTGGCAGGTAGGTGAGGATTTGGTTGCAGGATGGCCCCTGGTGAAGACATCCAATTTGAGGGTCCCAAACATATTATCAGCACCTTACAGCACCACCAGCCCAGCATCGACATGTCAACAACCACGAGGGCAGTGCCCGAAATGGCCATTGGACATTTTAGTGCTTTGTTCCAGTACTTACCCAGAAGGCCATGTACACCTCTATGAATCGGCTTTGGGTGCTGCTCGCGTTTAGACAGGCATTTTGATATTTGATCATTTTCTCGGCGTCTGAAAAGGTTGCTCGATTCCATCCGATTCTGTTTCTGCCAAAAATATGCACATGCCATTTCCCGGCTTTGGAAGAATGACCCTTATTTTGTTCAACCCCGTTTGTTTTTCCTTCCCAGATGATAAGCAGGTGGGCGAAGAACTCATCAACACAACCAGGCTGTGAACCCATTGCGGTCACCCAAATGTTTACACGGGGGTCGCATCAACCAAAGCTTGATTGACTTCAAGGGCTTGGTCCAACGATGCATGTCCTCGGATATGGCAAGATGGCCAGGTGTCCTTGCTGACCGTTTCGGGGATAGAATCAGCTATGGTTGTCGGTCCTTTACTTGGGACGTCCAGTTCTTTTTTCAGTTATCAGGTTTTGGCCAGATTAGAGTGTGGCCTTTGCTACAGTTCTTGTGTTTCCCATGGTTTCTCAATCAAACATTTGCGTAGGCGTCCCGTCCAATGGTTGGTTTCCTCTTGGTTTCAGCTTAAGTTTCAACCAAAAGACGTTGACACCATTTTGATAAATTCACATGTTGACCTGGGCGCGACATTTTCGACGTGCCGCCGCCGCTTTTTGCAGCGGGAAAGGTAAAGGTGGTTTCTTGCCATGGCATGTTTTCCATTTCAGCAGATTCATTGAACGCTTTACGGGTTCGCAGAAGTCCCTTTCAGGGAGGGTGTTCTGGTGTCACCGCTGTTTCAAATGCAAATGCAAGGCATGTTTTGAAAGCAGCCAGTGAAACATGGGCAGCAGCTGAAACATTCTGCCAGAAAGGGACACAGGGAAGAGCAACAATTTGCACGATACCACAAGCAACAGAAACTAGTGGTTCAGCCGGACCTGGAAGTAGCGATTTCACCATAATTTCTCTTGCGACACCACTGAGGTTTGAATCTGTGAAAATGTCACAACGACTCCCACTCGTCTTTTAGGAGAATCCCAGCCACCCAGCCTCACGGTTTACTCACCTATCCACCGCCAAGCACGGGCGCCGCATTTTTCTCTTCCGTTTCGGGCCATGCGGCCGATGAACGGCCATGGAAGACAGCCATGCAGAGCAGGTGCTCACTGTGGATGGCTCTGCCCTCCGACAAAAACGGCGCTGGGGAAGGGCCTGGTTTTCCTAAAGAAGCTTTCCCCTAATTGAGCCACTTGCTCGTATCCGGGGTAGGTGAAGGTGAAGGGAGAGTGCCAACCGGAAATTGGTGCAGACACTTTAGTTCTTTACATGGCTCTGGGTAGACCATTTTGATACCAGGTTTTGATTATGGCTCAATTGATGATTTGGGATGGTGGTTGGCGGTTGGGAGCTTCCCACTTACCCTCAAGACCCTCAAGAACAAGGGGTTCAACCCCCAAACTACCAATCCAATCCACCAACTTGGGGGGGCCACTTGAAAAGATACAACATGGCCCTCCATGTGCGGGGGCAGAGTAATGTTCAGATGGAGCAAGGAGCGCCGGTGCAACGATTCGGAATGAGCTCACCCGGCGCGTACCAAAACGAACAAGCCTGTACTAACTCCACCCAGACCTCCTGGGTTTGTCTCCAAATAGACCAGATGTGCTTTGGGGGTTCGTTTCATTCTTTGAAGAAACTACAGAACGGTGAGAAGTCCTCCTGTTCTCTTCGAGCCATCCAACATGGGTCCCTTATGTCCTCACTACCGAGTTTCCGGACTTGACCAGTTTAGTGGTACACAATGAATCTGGACATTTTCTGCCCAAGCCACTCAGAAATGAGGATTTCAACCAGAATTACTAAATCTGTGCAGATGGTCACCTGCAGGGTACAAGAAGCTCACTCATGATGATGCAGCGTGTTGTTGGGAAGGATTCTGGCCCTGGGGGGAACCCCGAGGGTCCGCGAATGCAATTGCGATACGTGCGAACGCTCGCTAAACTCTTCTCGCAAACTCCAGCCGCGGCTTCACCCGCACCCAAAGCTTCGCGAAGGCACCCCTTCCAGAAATTCAGGGCCCCGAAAAGCCCGCCAGCGTAGGCTTCTCAGCAGTGCATAGGCCCCGAACACCTAAAAGAAAACACTGCTAGCTCGCTTGGGTGTCCAGTTTGTGCATTATGCGCGTGATTTGCCAAGAATCTCAAACAACCATCCCCTGGAAATCACTCCCTAGGAGTGTTGACAAGCCACCATAGGAGGTTGATAAACCACCATACCACCTGAGCAAAGTGGATTTTGTCCATCCACAGACAGTAGCTTGGGGAAAGCAACATCAATAACTTTGTTGCGACATATATCAACATATATCTCGAGTATTTATTCTTCATTGACAAGAAGAATCAACTCCTGGTTACGTGTGTCGTCCCTTTCGTTCAACCCTAAAAAGCGGATCTTTTGGGGGTCCTCTCTTTGAACTCAAAACAAGAACAGCTTTTTGGGGTGGAAGTCTCCTCGAGGTGAACAGCTTGGGCCTCGTCTTCGTCGCTCTACCGCCGCTGCCGCCTCCCCCCATGGTGGTCAAGCAGGCGATTTCGGTCTGAACCTACCCAGAGTCTCGGCCCCTGAGAAATCCCGGGAAGGAATTTTTGCAGACCCAAAATTAATCAACCCCAGTTTATTGGTTGAGGAGGGGTCCATTTCTGGGTGAAATGTGGGGAATCAGACCACTTTTGGGGCCCTTCCTCCCATATTAATATAATGGGGTTGATCAACATGGGGTCAACATTACTCACTTCCTGAGTTCCTGAGAAATCACTTCCTGGTTTTGGCGGGGTACACTGACAACCTGGTTTCCAGAGAAAAAACCTGATTTGTTTTTCGCAACCCACAAACATAATGATAATTCCAGGGTTTTTTAGGTGGTGTCCATCCACAGTATTTGGACCCTAAAACCTTTCCTTGGGCCTTGGGCCTCAAATCATGAGGTCTTGGGTCGCATTGCGGAAGCCTGGGTTTGAGGCTCTGGGAACCCGCTTCAAAGTGACAAAGTAAGCATAGGGAATCCAAGTTTGCAGAAAGCCATGTATTTCCCCACGTGGAGTTTGTATGCCCCGGACGAAGCGGGAATGTGCCCGTTATTTTCAGCTACTAACACAACCATGTGGAGTCTCCATGGTCCATGGGGTAATGGTGTTGCACCGGGCGAATGATCGCGGCGGGCGGAGACCTTTCGCAGGTCCATCAGGGCACCTGGGCCGACAGCTCCGGGCCGCTCGGCCTCCTTCTGCTTCTTTTTGCTCCGGCCGACAGCTGGTTCTTCCAAGAAAGACGGAGCCCGAGAAAGCTCCACGCTGGTACTCTTTAGGGGGAACTTTGAAAGGAACTAGGGAAACCAAGCAAAACCCCAATTGAAAGCTCCAAATGAAGGTGATTCCATTGGCTGTGCCAGGGTACAAGGTGTCAGGTGTTGTGAATAGGCTTTGTCGCACAGCGTTTCGGCTGGAAATTTCCGTCGTCTTGACTCCTTAGATCTTCAACTGAGATCCCCGATGCATCATGTGAATTGAGCGATCTGATTCCTGTGGGCTAAGGATTTGTATCAGTCAAGCCCCAAATGCCAAAAATGGTCCTGACCCCAACAGGATAAACAGGGTCATCATCCCACAAAAAGAGTTTCACGTTTTGTGCTACTCGGGTCGCTGACCATCCACAAGAGTTCCGGGCCCTCTATACTAAGTGCTGAGTAGCAATCTTTGATGTTGCAGGGGAAAGCAACCAGGGCATGGACGAGTTGTCCCCCATGTTCGACTTTATCTTTGGCATGGGCCCTCTGAAAGGGTCGATTTGGGGTCACCTCCCCAATTTGGGGGACATGTTCGACCTCCCATCTTCACCCCCCCCCCCCCCCCGGTTTTTTTGGGGACCGTGTTCGCCCCACGGAGTGGTTGTCTCCGAAAGCCCGAGGATTCAGCCGGGCTTCGAAGTCCTGGAGCTGGGAGGCCTCAAAGTGGGGTCCATGACCCGAGAGGAGTTCCAGGCCGGACTGACTTCCACTGGCTGACTTGAGCCTTCAAGCAGCGGTTTTAATAGGTGTGGCTGAGCCGGAAGTTGTTTCAATAGGTGTGGCCATGGTTTAAACAGCTGAGTGTTTTTTTTTTTGGAGGCGGTACCCTTTTGGGGTTGGTTTTTTTGTTTTCTTTCAAGGGCGACCAAAAGGAAAGCAATGATTTTGGGGGTGCCCTGATTTTGAGACAAACCCCGTTACCCTATCTAGGCCCCCCAGTAGTGCCCTTTCTCTCCCCTTTTTTTGGTTGGGAGGGTTCCCCTACTAAAATACACTACAGAGAAAAAGTTGGTACCAACTTATTCTAAGCTCTCTAATGGAGGACCTAGTGAATCTGCATGTATTTTTGAATGGTCCTGTGAGTTGTAAAGCTTCCATTTTCTGGAATCTTGATTTTTGTGGGTGTGTGTATGTTCCCTGTTGGTTTTAAAGTTCTCCCATTTGTTGTTTTGGTTTATGTTCGTGGTTCAAAGTTCTTCAATTTGCGGAAATGACGATTTGTTTATATCCCCTTTTGGTTTTTGAAGAGAATCGACCTCACCGCTGGAAATATGTTCTTTTTTTGCCAGGGGGCTTAAGAAAATGGAAGAAAGGGAATCTAGCACTACTGGATTTGTTTCCAGGGACGCAAGAAAATGGAGGGAACAGTGGCCCTGGAAAGAGATGTCTTTGCGCAACTACGGGTAAGACGTGGTTTGGATACAACATCTCTGCCCTTTTGTGATTCACATTTGACCTGCCCAGACATTTGCCCAACAAGGTAGCCAGAAATTATACTTGAGACTGATAATAATATGACATATCCATATTATCTGAACTTGGCTTCACGTCAGGACTATTTTACCATGTTGTTAAGAGCTGACAGGAACGGACAAGCGTTTCAGAACAATTGGTACCCCGAGGATCCCTAAGAATCTAGCGGTATACACATTTACTGTCATGCTTGGGGTCTTCAAATCTGACAAGATATCGAACATTTTCAGAACATGTGAACATATACTGTGGTAAAGGTCGCAATCACCAAAATACCATTACAGTGCAGGTGTTGCTTGCAAAGCCCAGCAGTTGGGACACGAGCAGCGCCGAATGTTGACCCCGTATGAATCAACCCCAGTTTATCAATTCTTGCGTTTATGGGTGAAATGTGGGGAATCAGATCATTTTTGGAGGGCCAAAAACCACCCTGAGGTTGATTAATATGGGGTCAACACTACCCTACTCCAGCTTCCCTCCATCCCCACTCCCTTAAAAATGGAAGACTAGACGACTGAAATTGGGGACCCTCCACCCACTTTCACCTTAATGTGGGGATTGCCCGCCTCTTTCACCGCAGTGCGATAGGTAGGGAATGAGAGAATGAACCTGGAGCTTCCCTTCAAGGAAACCAGCAGTTGGATGGTTTCAATTGGGTCATTCCATTTCTCATTCCCTGCATCTCTTGCACCAGCAAGTTCAAGTTTGCTGGGAAACCCATACAGCTAAAAACCACGAGCAAGTTTGCTCAAGTGAAACCATCAGGTAAAATTCTCAGGGGAAACCACCACACCCTTCCACCTTAAAATGGCCAAGGGGAGGTCTCTCCCCCGCCCCTTTCGAGCGCCGACCCCGCGCGCCGACCGCGCCTGGTGCGGAGGTGGCCATCAAGAGCCGGCCGCTGCGGATCCGGGTCCAGGCGCCCCACTCGGAGGCCTGGCGCCGGGTGGCGCACTTCCAGCGGGAGACGGTGAGGCTCCACCTCAAGAAGGCGCCATCCGATCGGATCGGATCCGAGCGACGGATCCGAACCTGAGGGAGGTCAGAACTGGGCATCGCTTCCGGCCATCGCTTTTTAAGTTGGCTGTTTTTTGTTTTTGTTTTTTTCCCTCCGCTTTTTGGTGTTTGGTGGAGCCGCAAACAGTTGAAACTTTTAGCGGGGGATCTGAGGACTGCCCAGAAAGGTAGCTTTTGGAGTTCCGATGGGAGGCTCACAAAATCAATGTTGCATCATCTGAATGGGATTGAAGGGGTTGAAGGAAGGTCGAACTGAGCGTCATCTACTGCTTGCCAGGGATCCAAGTCTATGTTCTGTTTTCTTGCAGGTTTTAAGCATCACCTGTAATTGGCCCGTGTAAAGCAATTGTGAATTGGTAGGGGCGATGTGTTTTCGGGGAGAAGGTGAAGAGTGGAGCCAGTATCTAGTTGAGAAGGTAGATGATCACTATAATGGTATATGGACTGTTCCATTTGTTTTGGAACTTTAGGAATTTGTGGGCGTCCCGACTGCGCACAGGACGCGATGTGGGGCTATTTGGAAACAAGTTTCAGTGGTTGTTGCATTAGGCCTACACAAGGCGATCGACCGTTTGCTCGTTCGGGGGGCAGAGGGAGCAACCCGGCTTCTGTCTCTTGATCAAACCCAGAAGGCTGGGAGATCGATGGGATCGGATTGCCTTACTTCCTAACGCCTGGAGTCTCCATCCGGTAAAAATGGGGTCATGTCCATTCATGTTTGGGTGGAGGACCCCATGTATCCCTTGTTTGTAAGGGTAGGAATTCCCAGGTCAATTTGGCAGACAAAACGTTCGGACTTGTTCTGTCCAATCCACTCAGGAAGTGAGTTTCCCTCGTTCCAATTGTTTCCAGGGTCAACATCGGACCAAATTTGTAGGGGTAGAGAGGGAGGCTGGGAGATGCGGAGGGAGGCTGGGAGATGTGGAGAGGGAGGCTGAGAGAGGTGGAGAGGGAGGCTAAGAGAGGTGGAGCGGGAGTTTGGCCATCCCCACCCCGCTTAATGGAATTGAGGAGGGGGGATTCCGACACCTGGAGTCTATTTCTCGTGTTGTTTCCCGGGACAAATGGGGTTTGGAACCTCCTACCTCTCCGGGCCCCTGTAAAAGTGCCGGACTTCACGAACCTTCTGCCTTGGAAGATGAAGTTTCCATCATCTTCCTGGAGTCTCCATGACCCTGTACAACTGAGGTCATGCCCCCTAATTTGTGGGTAGATAACCCAATGTTTTAAGGGTCATGGAGACTCCAGGTTCCTTTCTACTCAGCAAATCTACTTGTCGTAGCCTGGCCAAGCTTCAGCACATTTAGCATCACCTACAGGTACCCACTGCAGCTTAAGGCGCCTTGGAATAGTTGAGAACCCCTTGTGTGAAAGACTCAAAAACTGGAATTGGGCAGAACCCCCCAGCCCCCCACCCCCACCCCCTGGGATCTGTTTGAGTTTTTTCAAGTTCCACAATCAAACATGCTAATATTGATAGGGCAACGACCCAATCAGCTTCTGCCTGGTAGTTTGGTTTGGTTGTTTGGAGGTTAGGAAGTGGTTTCCCATTCACCCTCTACATGTTCTCTTTAGGACCCAAGTGAGGTGGCTATGAATTTTAGTAGGGAGCCAAAGTCGTCGGACATGCCCACGTAGCCTTTACCTTGAGTGAGGCGGACATGTCCGGATGAATCTGTTCGCTTCACCGAAGCAACGGCTTCAGGCATTGCTCCAGAAGGCATTGCGGGACGAGCATGAGAAGGTGAAGCTGGAGTTAGGCATCGACGCGAAGACCGAGGAGGACCGGGCTGACGAGAAGCAGCGCCCAAAACGCCCCGAACACCCAACAGAGCCGTCGATTGGCAGGAGGTTCTGCCTGGTTTGTTAGGGACTATAGTGAGGATTCTGTAAGCCAGATGTGTGGAACCAAAAGTCTACGGGGAAAAAACGTTTTCAACCCAAATAATAAGAAGTCAGAACCATGCTTGTAACCAAGACAACTGGGTTGGCTCTCTCGCCACGATTATCTCCTGGGGTCTCCAAGATTTAGGGTTGACTAAATACTCACTCCCTGAGCTCATGGACACGAGTCACTTTTTGGGGAAGACCATTTCGGCAAGCAACAAGTGCGGGGATGATATGAAACACTCTGATACGGCAGTAATTCTTGGCGTGCCTAGGTGGTGCCAAAATGTTACGGTAGCCAGCCTTATGGAAGCTACCCAGCCAAGAAGACTTTCAGCTTACCTGCACCGGAGGCTCTGGTTGGCACCCTCCTTTGTGTGGACTAGTTGGGCTTTTTCTCATCAAGGAATTATCCGATATTTGATGGTTTGGGGACCACGTGCAAAATCAAATTTCATAGATCTAAGGCCTGTAGCTTCTGAGAAGGGAAGGTCTTAGATAAACCACCCTCTAAAAGTAAACGGCTAAGGCTTTGATATGGTATTGTTTTGTTTTGTTTTTGCCCGGGTTCTCGGGGAGAACTGTGCATTGGTCAACACCCTCAGAACAATCCCAGCATCTTGACTTAGGAAAACACGTTCTCTACTAGACGCCCCATTTATAAATGACCTGGCCAAAGTAAGGCCCAGGCCAATCGAACCTGCGCCACTTGCTCTATCTACATCCCATTAGCAACTAGGAAGCGCCGTGACGTTGTCACAGATGACATTCTTGACATTGAGGTGTTTGGCAGTTGTATTCGAGGTGCTGCGCTTAATTATCTAGGTCCCCCAGTAGTGCCCTTTTACCCTTTTTGGGGAGGGTTCCCTACTAAAATAGACTACAGAAAAAAGGTACCCTTATTCTAACCTCTCCACTGGTGGACCTAGTTGTGGAACAAAACAACCGAAGATGGTGCAGGAGCGGAGGGCCAAGAACCGCGAGACCCGAGCCGAGATCGCGCGCCCCGGCTCTTTGGAAGTTGCGGAGATGAAACGCTCTTTGGGAAACTCACATGGGAGCCGTTTTGTGTTTGTTTCTTCTTTTTTGTTTCTTCCTCTTCTTTCCGGTGTTCTTCGGGTCCCGGGGTACCTTTCAAAATGGGGTGTTCCAGTTGGTTTCCCTTTGCAACAAAAAGGGGTAGCCTCAAAACAAGACAGGGTTGCACAACGATGGGACCTTTGTTGACATGATTTCACTTAAGGTTTACCAACTGTGGCTGCCCACGTTGATAGTCGCAGGCATGCAGATTGAGTCAAAGCACCTTTTTGCTGGTCCTCTTATCTTTTCGAGTGTCACAACCTCTTTAAAAACAGATTATCCCTTTGGAACACATGTCCTCAGCCATCCCCTTATATTTTTAGGTGTTTAGGGTTTAGTGGGGGTTTCCAGTCAAGCCACTAAAAGTTAAACTTGTAGCAGATCTGAGGACAGCCCAGTGTAAACTGATTGACTTTCGTCCAGAGTCTGGGTGGGGGGAGGCTTAACGACCTGTAGGGCCCCTGATGTATTGTTGGGTTTCCCTGCGAATCAAGGAAGCTACATGCCCACCAGGTACGTGCCCCATGCCCAACATACACAGCTTTATATTGCCTCTCCGAGCTACAGAAATTATGTCCCTTTTGTGAGGAGCAATGAGTTAGCATATCCAACCAACAGGTTATTTGGAGATTTCAACAGGATATTGGAAATCCACAATTGAGTGTCCATGTGCTTATTGTTCACTATACCCCTCCAAATACCCACTGTTAGGGTATGATGTCGACCTCTGACCAAAACAAGGTTGGCATTTGCCTTGGAAAACCGTTCTTTTTTTGAAAGTACTCCCAAGACAAACTGCGCGCGTCGTTTTTTTGGGGGAACCTTTTCTGTGGCTTTTTCAGATGAAGCCAAGAGGAAAATCCTCGGCCTTTTTGGGTCCCCCCCCCCCAAAAAAAAAACGGCGCCCCCCATTTGGAGCGGCCTAGATAGCCAAGTTGCTGCTTTTGTTCAGTCACTGTTGCTGGTTTTTTGGGTAAAGTTCACGGAGTTGCGATCCAGCGGGTTTCTCCTGAGGACGCAGCGCCAGCGGCTGGAAGAGCAGAAAGCGGCCCTCGGCCTGCAGCAGGAGGAACTGCAAAAGGCGTCGGGCCGTCGGGCCGTCGGGCCGTCGAGTTGTGGGCGGCCAATGGGACTGTTTGGACGACCCAAATAGCCTCCCCACCCCCCAGCCAAACACACATCCAGGGGGTGTGGGGGGGGGGTGAGTCCAAAACAATACTTCGGATCTTCCATTTGCTTTAGGATATCGTTTTAGATAGTTTCCCCTCTGGGTTTTAGAGGGAATCTACCACTACTGAGAATTGTTTCATATTTGGCAGGCGACGAAAACGCATGGAGGGAATTGTCTCAACATACCAACATAGGGAACCACTTGTTTGGGTTTAAAGGGAACCTGAGAAACCTCTCGCAACATTTTGGGAAACACACACTTGATAAACAACCAAAACCCGGGCAAGTGCAGGTTAGTGAGAGAAGGGTATATGTCCACCAGTGACTCGCAACACAATGTCAACTTTGGATTCATCCAAACCGTACTAATTCAGGGTGGTTCGCCTAAAGGACAGGACCTATTACAGTGGGTTCCTTTGATTAGGGTCCTTCGGGTTGATCAAACATCAGCATCACTTAGCCCCAATTGTCCAAAGCCGACCTGCTGACCTCTCGCTTTCTCATTTCGGTCTACTCTCCGCCGCTCCCAAGGGAGTAGTTGGTGTGGGACTCCAGTGGTTCGTAACCCTCGGCTGACCCTCACGGCCATTTGGAAAGAAGAAAAACCAGGGACCCCTGCTCCAGGGATGGTCATGGACTTCAGGATTTTAGACAACCCTTGTAAGTCTTCCTGGGTAACCATATCCACATTTGAGTCTATGACTCAGCATCCCTATCCCAGTTGCCCAGTGGGTTGCTTCCTTTTTTCCTTCTTTGGGTTGAAGGATTTCCCTTTAACGTCAACCCCGGATAAATACACCCCTGGTTGATAAATGGGGGGGTGTCCCCTTTTAGTGGAGAATCATCACTTTTGGGGGGAACACCCCCCACATAATGGGACGGGTTTATTAATCCTGGGTCAACATTAAAGTCAAAACAATCGGAAGCCGGTTTTTTTCCTTCCCATGGAAGTCCACTGGGCAGCTGGACAAATCCATCTCGGCTGAAGGCCCAGCAGCAGCTGGAGGTTCTTGACCAGCAGACCCAGAGCCGCAGGAAGAAGCTGGAGCTTGATAAGCTCCAGCCACTCGTCTGGATGGGTGGGTGGGTGGGTGGGTGGGTGGGTGGGTGGGTGGGTGGGTGGGTGGGTGGGTGGGTGGGTGGGTGGGTGGGTGGGTGGGTGGGGGTGGGTGGGTGGGTGGGTGGGTGGGTGGGTGGGTGGGTGGGTGGGTGGGTGGGTGGGTGGGTGGGTGGGTGGTGGGTGGGTGGGTGGGTGGGTGGGTGGGTGGGTGGGTGGGTGGGTGGGTGGGTGGGTGGGTGGGTGGGTGGGTGGGTGGGTGGGTGGGTGGGTGGTACCTTACGCAAGTGGAGACCTGCATTTTTGAGAATCCGCCCATGCTGAGGCCACGTCTACGTCTTTGGAGTATGGAGGAAAGGGGAGGGTCTGAACAAACAAACACTGGGGAAGGCAAGGATGTGGGAATCTGGTCTTTGGTGTGCCCTGATCGCCCCTACATATGCGGGTGTCTTTTTGTTGACCCTTTCTGGGGTTGGTTTAACATAAAAGGAAACCAACATAAACACCACCATTTTTGGAGAAAAAAATGAACTGATCAAACCCCAAGATCTGGGCGCTTTGTGCCAGTCTCCGGGTTTTGGCACCTAGTCAGCTCCCCGCGGGATCGATCGAGCTGCCGGGCTGAGGTTCTCCCAGCAGCAGGAGGAGCTGGCGAAGGCGCGGCACGACTTCGACGCCTCGCGGAAGTCCACCTTGGAGGCCATCGAGAAGGAGACAAGCAAAAAAGAAATCAGGACCTTAGTTTGGGGATTTTCACATGGGTATGGGTCAAAATTAAGCACCAGGATATGGACCGCAGGTTTTAGTCCTTGGTTCCATTTGCAAGGGTTCCATGTTGGGTACCTATTTTTGACCCACAGCCGCATAACCATTCCCGAGGATGATGCCATTCCAATCTGGATGATGCCATTCCCGAGGCAAATCATGGTGGTTCAAAGCATGTTCACATAACTAGGGTTCCATCAATCCACCATTCAATCAAATAATTTTCACATAACTATTACTATCGTTATTTATCTAGGGAATGGCATCATCCAAAATCATCCAAGTTGGAACGTGTGGTTCCATGAAATCAAAGGATTTTCACATCACCATGTTTTACCTCGGGAATGGCATCCAGATTAGATTGGAATTGTTGGTTCTGGCTCCATGGTTTGGCCGTTTTCGGAGTCGCCCAAGCGGGAAGAAAAGCAACTCACGTCCTGAGTTCCTGCACTTCAATCTGTTTGGTTTCAACCATTCTGCAGGCAAATAGAAAGTTTAGACTTGTTGACCATTCCACTCAGAAGTGAGTAACCACGGCATGTCTTAAAATAGTTGCTGGTTCGATAGGCAGGGAAAGAGAAATCGAAAGACCCTAATAAAATGATCCATTTCCTATGGTTTCCTTCAAGGGAATCCCCAAAACCGGTTCATATGCAAGAATAGGGACTCCCCCCCAAACAAAAGGCAACGGTTTCCTTGTGGTTTCCACTTTAAGACCACTCCAACAGGGGATCCTCAAGAAAGGACTTTCCATAAGTTCCTCAGGGACACGTGGCCATGGTCGCTGCTTGTCATCAAACAACTTGTTCATCCATGTTCCATTTTGTCCGTGTCCTCTCGTAACCTTTGTGATGTCAGGGGCGCTAGCGTGAACTTTTGGAGCTGTACTTCCCCCTAAACAAGACAATTTGCCATTCAGAGGAATGTGCTTGGTTTCTCAGAAGAACCATGGATGAAAGGAGTGGAAACTGGACCCAAATTTGTCAGAGCGAGCTGTTTTTTGCCCAAACAAGCGTGGGTTTCCCACTAAAATCAACCAGCGGAAAGAGTTCCCACGGATAGAGGTTTGTGATGCGGGTCATTTCCCCCCATCAACCCCCCTGCCACGTGCGATTTTACTTTTCTCTCTGGCCTTCGCATATAATTCGGATTGGTCGCGTTTTCCCCACAACCACCCACACACACACACACATAAACACGGGGAACAACTAGTTATGGACTCAACCACGCTTGCTTTCCCATGGCGATTGGGAGCACTGGAATTTGCTCACAAAGATCAACCCCCATTTCATTGCCCTAAGTTGGACCCTCCAGAGAGACCTTCATTGGAAGGCTTAGAACCTCAAAAAGGCTCCTTGCAAGTAGATGTTCTTCGTTTCTCGTCCAAATGCCTAGAAGTTTGCGTGGAACATGTACCTTTGCGTTAATCCGAATGTATGGAAGTTTTCAGAACACAAATCCCGGGTATTCTCCCATAACTGGAACATACCTTCGTGTAAGTTCCCATAGACATTCACAAAAGCAAAGTACTCCAGTGGGTTCTCCTTGTTCTTGTCCTTATGGACCACTGCACCTGCCCCAGCCCAGGAAATGTTGACCCAGGATTAATAGACCCGTCCCATTGTTAGGGGGGTGTTCTCTCCAAAAGTGGTCTGAATCACTAAAAGGGGACCCCCCCCCTATCAAAATCAACCACGAGTTGATTAATCCGGGGTCAACATCATTCCCTAGATAGCCAAGTTGCTGCTTTCTTCAGTCACTGTTGCTGGTGTTTGGGATTTGTTTTGGGCTAAAGTGCATGGAACAAAAGCCAACCACTGGCGATCAAGGTCTCCCATTGGTCGATTCCCTGTCTCCCATTGCACTCAGTGGTTTCTCCTTGTTCTTGTCCTTATGGACCACTGCCGCCCAGGCCTTCTCCCAGTCAATTCCCTGAGGAGAAGCTGCAGATCGCCTCAGAGCGGAGGAAGCTGCAGAGCTCCGCAGACGAGGCCTCCATGGCGGAGCAGGCGCGCGCATCCGGGCGCGCGCATCCGGGCGGTGCTTAGACTCGGCTCACGGCTCGACAGTTGGAACCGTGCAATGTGGACCTGTTGGTTGTCCCAGGGTCCGGGCACCCTCCAATTTGGAAGATTTTGGACATGTGGACTTGTTCTAGGTCCCCCAATAGTGCCCGTTTACCCTTCTTTGGGGGGAGGGTTCCACTAAATAGACTACAGAAGAAAGTTGGTACCCTTATTCTAACCTCTCTACTGGAGGACCTAGGTGTTGGTTGTGGTTTCACCATCCAAGTTGGAAGATGTTGGACATGTTTGGATTGTCTGCCAGAGATGATCACCATTTATTTCCCGTCCGAGCTGGGCAAGTGAGTTATGGCCAGGTTCAGAACCAATCAGGAATGTTTCTGGGAGACGACTCCCTCTAATTTACTGTGATTTTCGCGGGATTAGATGAGTATCGTTGGTTTGCCTACAATATTCAGGGCATCCAAAATATCGCAGTGGCCAATGTGATATTTTTCTGGTGACTGACTCTCCACAGGGTCAGGTAACTCTTAGTTTGTGGTTGGGATTGGTGGTTTGGGGATTTGAACTTCTAGGCTAAATTGGACACCACCCGGCTCCAAGCCACCAATAGAGATCAGGGGAATAGAAAGTCAGCGCAACCCGCTGGCTTTTGTGGGTATGGGTCTATTGTTCTAGCGATTTTTTCCGGGAGATGGTTTCTTAGGCGCGGGTCCGCGGGGAGATCGCTGGATCAACTTCTCTGCGCGCCGCCCGCCGATCGGATCGAGGAGCGGGAGGAGTTGGACGAGGAGCGGCGCCTCATCGACGTGGAGCGGCAGGAGCCGGGCATCGTTTTGTGTCATATGGCTGTGGTTGTCAAAACCAATGGGATCCCATGTTTGGGTAGGTGCACCACCCATTTTAGAACCTATTTTAGTGGTTGGATTGGGATGTTCACTGGGGATACGATTTGGATTTTGACCCATGGCCATATCCAAACCCAGCCCCTCGTTTCCTCGGGTGAGCCATGCACTTACGAAGCGAGAAGTTGAGCGGTGTTTTTCCCGGTGAACCAGTTTGGTTGAAAATCCACGGATTCCGCAGGTGTCAGTGGTGTGGTTCTACTTATTTACCACTGAACTGCAAATGCACATTTAGGAAGTTGGCGCAATCAATTCCCAGCCAGGTCAGATGCATGGAACTGATCGGGGCTAGCATCACGTCATCCCCCTTCCCCCTTAGGAGAGGCTTAGTATGTACTCACCTGTCCAACGCTACGTGCGGGAACCGACCCGACCATGCCACGACGAGCGGGAATGAACAGGCTCTTGGCAGGGACAAAGCAGTGATTACATTCAAGAATGGGAAGGAACATACTGATGGACACAATCCTGCTGGGTGGGTGCGGCACATAGGAATCACGAGACCATGCGGAGCTCACGTAAGGTCTTTGTGGCAAGAAGGCCTTGGCGAGCCTCGACAAGGCTTTCAGGCCATGTTTGCGCCCACATCAAATCGGACCCCGGACATGTAAGGTTAGGCTTTTCTGCCACAAAAGGTGCCCTGGGTGGGCCCCCATCAAAGTACCCTCTAGTTCTTGATGAGGTCCGTGAAAGTCCTGAAGCTTTAAAGCCATCTTGGTAGAACCAAAGTCAAGGTTTAGGCGGATTTATGACACGTCTCGCTAAAATATATAGTGTTTGTTTAGCAAGGGATCAACAAACCACCAAAATGCGGCAAGGAGACATCTAGCAACTCGGCAGAACCCAAACTGGTTTTAATGGATGGGTTCGATCTTGCTCGCAGCCATTTGACCCCCATTGGCCCAGTTGTCTAGCCCATTCAAGCGGGTCACCCATTGGAGTTGCGAGCCCCCACCTGTTTGTCTTTCTGGTTCTCAGCATTCAATGAGGGAATCCCCCTATATACCATCCATCCTACGGTGTCCTTTTTTCAGGAATCCTCCAAAACTACCGGTTCATTCGATCAACACCCGGACTCGGGACAAGGTCATCCCCGACCAAACCAACCAAAGTGTTTTGTGGTCCAATTCGTTTGTTTGTTTCTTTATTAAATCTTCGGGAAGTCATCCCCTACCAAACCAACAACAGTGTTTTGTGGTCCAATTCTTGTTTGTTCTCCTCGAAAAGTCATCCCCTACCACACCAACCAAAGTGTTTTGGGGTCAATTTTGTGTTTTGTTCCGCTACCTAACCAACAAAAGGGTTTTGTGGTCCAATTAGTTTTTTGTGTTTTTTTCCTCACCAAAAATTCACTTTTTGTGGTCCAATTCGGTGTGTGTGTGTGTGTGTGTTTTATTTTAGTTTTCGCCCGCAGGAGGTGGCGCAGCAACGGGACCTCTTCGAGGCAGAGAAGCGCCAGCTGCAGCTTCAGCTGGAGGCGCTCCAGCGCTCGAGCGCGCGCTCGTTGGATCGCGAGAGATCGGGGGGGAAACCTTCAGGCAGGGGGGTTGGGCGGTTCTCAAAATCGGGGGTGCCTTAAGAGGGGAAACAAGGACAAATGCACCTCCTTGTTGGATGGAGGGGAAACCAAAAGGAAACCAGGCAAGCACCTGAAGGAATTTGTTATTAGCTTTTTGAGAAGTACCGCTATGGATTCTGAGCCAAGGAACCAGGGATGAGTACAATCCTGCTCAAATGGGAAGCTAAAGAGCGCATTTATCCTCCCCCAAGACAATGGGTTCGTTGACGCATAACGATGGTGGCCGGTGCGGGTCATAGCCTGGGTTATGCGCTGCTTGGTGACTCCGCTGAACACCCAAGCTGGTCAAACGCATGGGACAAGGTCAACGAGCCAGGGTACTTGTGTTCTGCATGATTGGTTCTGAGCGTTTGCCGGCTGAATCATCGGTTTTGCTCCGCCACCTGACCTAAAGGATTTGTTTGGTTTTTGAGGGTACCCTTCTTCATCTTGGCTTAAGGGGGTATCAAAAAAGAAACCACCATTCTGAGAATCCACTCAATTCTGAGGTCCTTCTTTTGTGGTTTCAAACCCGGCTTTGAACCATGGGTTCCTTAAGCCAACAGGTCCAAGCCAGTAGGTGAAATCCTGGGTTACCTACATATATAAGTCCCTCAGGCACAATTAGCCTGGCAAGTTAGAGCCTGGGGTGCTGACCGCTTGCTAAGTTTTTCCCGAACACCCAAGCAAGTTTGGTTTTGGCCCAGTGGATTTGCCAACTTCCTGGGGACGGGGGTTAAACTTGTTTTTTGTAGAGCCAACAAAAACAAAGGAGAATTCCTGAGGCTTAAACCCCCAAAGCAAAGCAAACCCAAACCCAAGCCAAAACCAAACCAAACCAAACCAAGCCACTAGGGCTAAGCTGAAATTAGTCGCAGCGCTTTTCCGAGGAGCAGCAGAGACTTCTGGAGCGGCAGAGGGCGGAGATGGAGGAGGATGAGCACCTCGATTTGGGGATTTGTGAGGTTTGGGAACCCGACAGAACCAAAAGCTAGGTCCCCCAGCTAGGTGCCCTTTCTCACCCCTTTTTTGGTTGGGAGGGTTCCCCTTCTAAAATAGACAAAAAAGAAGAAAGTTGGTACCCTTATTCTAAGCTCTCTGCTGGAGGACCTAGAAAGGGTTCCTTCTATGTTTATGCTGGGGGGAGAGGTTGCTGCACAAAAGGATTGCTGCTTGTCTAGCTGCTTGTACCAACCAACATGGGGAACTCAAAAAGTATGGGTTCGGGTTTTTCAAATTGACCAAAAGAGGGGTCCCAAAAAAGAGAGCGAGACACGAGTTGGGCAACATGCGCGCAGTCTAGGGCCGTTGGAACATGAGACCCATATGAGTCCCCAACAGTAGTACAGGTAAACCAGTCATAGTTGTCAAACATTGGGTTTAGGTCGCCTTTTTTCCGCGATACCAAGGGAGTCCCCCTTCAAAGTGTTGGTACAATTCTGTATCACAGCATGTGTTATTTGATCATTTGTCACAACCATGTACCCATTTGTGTCCCTGACTTTGGTAGTCCACGCTTGGGCTGGAGACATGGGGGGGACAGCTTGAATGGTCCCACAGAAACAGGGGAATGGCTCAAAACTCCGGCACTCCCCTCCCACATTCCCTTCGGGACAAAGAAAAGAGGGGTTTCCTCAAGAAGGGGGCCCTCGGCGTTTTGACCCACACCCATCTTGGACCCACCGGTTTTGGGCCCTGGTTGGGTCAACATTTCTGGGTGGGGTTCGGGACCTTGGCGACCGCGATCAGGTCTGAGCAACCCAGAGGAAAATAGCCAGGTTCCATCTAATTGCTGGTTTGGATTTGTGTTGTGGGGAGTTGGACCCCTGGTCTTGCGGGTAAATGTGAAACCACCAACCGGAACACCTCCACCGGGCTCCAAATCACCAAGGGGGAAGCTGAAAGAAAGCCTGGCCGAGATTCGAAAGGGGCGTCAAACGCCGCGTGGCCTCGTTCGTCCAGATTGGTTCAGGCTCTTGTCTCCTTTGAGCCGTGGGAAGGCCATGGAATCTTGTCTGGTGCTGCGGTCACAAAATGGTCACTGGTAGGATGCAATGGCTGCCCTTGCTACGGCTCTGCATCAGAATGCGTGGTTTCGGTCGGATGATCATGGACCCTTCAATTTCAACCATGATAGAGATTCCCATCGAGAAACGGGAAACTCCATTGTTTTGAGACCCGTTTTCCCCCATGAACACCGGCCAAGAGGGGGTTCAGGCCAAGCGGACACCAAAGTCCTTTGTTTAAACATGTTTAAGCCACCATTGTTCAAACAATATCCGTTTGTTTGCCCTTTTGGAGAGGGGACTGGGGGCAGGGTTCCGTTTTTGACTTCCTTGGGGTAGACTTAAACCCAGGGGTTTCCCTTTTGGGAGAATCAGCCACCCCTGGGTTTAAGTCTGCCGTGGGGTAGTCAAAAACGGAACCCTGACTGGGGTGGTCCATTCAAACCAGACCGAAGCGCAACCTCCTGGACTGGACCCCTGTACCCGGCCGCCAGCGTCCCCCATCAGATCGCTTGAATGTGTTTTTTGTTTTTTTTGCTCTCAGGGCTGGCATGGCACGGCAGCGGGAGGCGCGAAAAGGGCGGGGCGCAGTTGGACCGTCCTCTTCATTTGTTTCATGATTTGGAGCAGACCCCTTAAGAACCAGGTTTGTTGATTGTGACTCAGTTAAGCCTCTGACAAGGTTCCCTGTATATCTCCGTGTGGTTTAAACATGATGCTTTCGTCAAAACCTCTGTTTTGGCGTTGGTTTTTCTTATTTGATGAACTGGCCCGTTTGGTTTCCACCAGGTTTTTGTGTGGTACTGTGGTTGACCCCATTCCCACTTCCCCAAAGGTCACTCGACAGTAGCAACCTTAAATCTCAGAAAGGGCCAGCCACGCCATTAGACCCGTTGATTCAAGAGGGATGTATGACATATCCCGCTAAGCAACTAGCAAGGGATCAGCAAATATCACATGAGCCAGATTTGTAGAAGTCCCTTTTGAATGAAGTAGTATTTGTTGAATGTTTGTAGTTTAAGCAAGCCTCAAGCAGTTCTTAGTTCAGACATTCGGGCACAATTAGTCTGGGTTCCCATTACATGGGGTTGGGTGAGCTCCTTTTATACCAGGCTTCGGCTTGATTAGAACATTCGCCTACCTTAAAGGGGCTTCCGACTTATAGTCTTATACCAAAGCAATAATGTTTAAAGGCTGAAAAACAAGACAATCGCAGCATAAGTCTGCTCTTTTAAACTTTCACCTTGCCTCAGCCCTATTTCAAGGTGGGTGAAGCCGCCCTGGCCCAGCTTTAGCCCAAGCCGCGCCGCGCCATAGGAGCTGCTTGCGCAGAAGAGCCGCGCCGCGCAGCTCGCAGCGCAGTGCGCCGAGCAGGAGGCCAGCGGGGCCAGCGGAAACCTGGGGAAATCGAAGGCATCGACGGGGTCTTGTGGATGCTGTGGTTGCGAAATCCGGAAATCGAACCAGGAAATGAACAAAAACATGGTGGAAACACCAGGAAATGAACAAAAAATGGTGGAAACCTTGTTTGGTAGGTATTTACGGGTATTTACTGGGGATTTCCAATCATTCCAGGCTGTCTTAGGTGGTGCGAAATGGATTTCGTCCATCCACAGTATCAAATCAAAGTGAACTCAAAAGAGTGGACAATTATTGATTGATGTGATTGGTTCTATCCATGGACATGGAACCGGTTATTTCAATTTTGACAGATGGCTGCGGCTCGCATTGCGGGTTTGGTGCCTGTCTTGGCGGGCAAGTTGGGGCTGGTCCTAAGACACCCTACAAGCAGGAGGACCCCCTTTACTTGCTGGTGCTCAGCAGGGAATGATGGAATGACCCCTATAAACCATCCAGCAAGTTTAGTTAGCTTTCGAGGGAAAAAGGAAACCAACCAACATTGAACGAGCTTACTCCAGTGGCTGGTTCCCGGAATACATGACTCACCAAACTGAAGTCCATTTGGGGATAACCCAAAACATGAAGCGCAGGACTCCGCACCCTCCCTCCCCCCCGAAACAATGCGAAAATGGTGTCGTGGTGTCTCTCAGATTTTTTCTTAGATTCTCCTTGAAGCTAGCCAATGGGCCTGGCGCCTGCGGTCGCCTCGTCGCGCCGTCCAGGCAGCGCTGGCGCAGCAAAAGGCCAGGGGCGCTGCGGAGGCGCAGAGCTTGGCAGAGGCGAAGGCGGAGGCGGCGGAGCTGAGGAAGCAGTTGGAGAAGGCGGGGAAGCGAGCTGCGACGGGGGCCTGCTTGGGGTTTTATGAAAACTTATGCCAACCCAGTGATTGTTATCAGATTTGTTTGAAGAAACAGACACTCAACCCAATGTTTTTTTTGTTTTTTTCTTTTGTTTAACCCCATGGAAGCGAGGAGGATTCTTTATGATTGCTATTTGCTGACGGATCTTTGGACTTGAGCTTCTTGGTTGAATCAGTGGATTGTCCATGGGACCCGCAAGAAGCTAAACCTTTCGCTGAGGGGTCAACAGCAATCAAGTGTAGTTCTCAAAACTCAGTCCATTGGGATTTTCGAGACTCCAGCCCCAATCAGACTTCAGGATATGCAGGATTTACGCGCGTAGTGATCTTTTCTGGCTTTATGAACTTTATCCTTTCTGGGTTCGAACCATTTTAGTGGTGAACAGGTTGGCTACTTTTTGGGCCAATCCACCAGATCTGAAGTGAAGCAATAGAGGGCCCTGAGCTTTGTCTTCCTCTTATCCTTTTCGGGGTCGATCAGAGCTAGGTGTCCTCGTGTGACGTGGTTGCTTTTCAAACCCCTGGTTCATTTTGATCATGGGCGGTGGTCACATGGTCTCTTCTGCAATCAGCCCCTTGGGGTATTGGGGCTTGGGGAGGGAGAGGGGGAGAGGGAGCCCTCATTGCCCGAAATAAGGCGCTTAACATTCATTCGGTTTTTTGTTGGGCTGCCTCCCCCCCTCCCTCCCCCAGTGTCAACGGGTCTCAAGGTTTTCCTGAGAGGAGTTGGGACTTCCAAGTGGTTGGTTTCTTTTTGGCTTCCTTTTGGTTTCTTGCCTGTTTGAACGAGTAGCTGTTTTCATTCTAGGAAAGGCCTATGTCAGGTTTGTCCAGGCGGCCAGTCATTTGTCATTTAAAGTAGTTCTGAATTCCTGCTTTGTGTGGAGGGGGTTCGTCTTGAAAATCAACCTCCTCCCCCCCGCCAAAAAAAAAAGTGAGCTACTTTTTGACAGGAAATCCACTGAAGGGGTGGGGAACGGTAAATAAACATGTTTTATTTAAATTGTCAAAATGGTTCCCTAAATTCCCTGCCTAAGGAGAAGGCGGAGTTCGAGGAGAAGAGCAAGAAGACGCAGCAGACGCTGCTGGCGCACAAGAAGCAGCTGATGCAGGCGCTCACCGGGGAGACTTTTGCTCACTCTTTGATACCTCAGGTTGCTCAAGGGCAGGTTGGCGCCTGTGAGGATTGGTTAGGATTTGGGGGCGTCAACTGTTTGCGTCGCCTTTTTCGGGGTGGAAAAGGGAACCTTGCTCCCTGACCCAAAGTTTGGACTTGTTTTGGCTAATGCACGACGTTCGAACATCTCGGGTGGAATCCCTTCAGCCCGCCACTTCTGAGATGACTTTGATCATGGAAAAGTCATGCCACTTTGACCGCGTACCAAGCACGAAGTGGGCTCCGATAGGCGGGAGGAAGAGCACTCTGGTGGGCTCCGATAGGCGGCGATGTCTCAGCAACACAGTTCTTCTTGTTTTGAGGCTGGGTACCCTTTTTGGATGGCTTTCAAGGAAAACCAGCAGGAAACCAGCCATTTCAGGGGTTCCCCAGATGTGGTGGTCCGCGAGGACTCTTTCAACATACCAATTTGCAAGGCCAATCCACCCGTTCCGA